ATGAAATCTGTGATTGGTGATATCTAAACCATTTGCTAATATGCAATGAAAAACCCAGAGATGCGCCGCAAACCAATATACGTACCAAGCAAGGTAAGATCAAAGCTACACGCCCTGTCGTCTCAACCGCTTGATACCTAGGTAGCCCTGTATAAAACTGTGCCCTCAACTTCAAATCCCACAGCTACTGTACATAGAATACAGTCCACGCAAGCCGGACCGGCAAATGAAGCATGCAGAGCCGATAAACTTCAGTGACCGCTCCCCAAAGAGCAACACCACCAGTACAGCCGACTCAACTCCGGCGCTGCGGTCAATTTATGCCTGATGTAACCGTCGAACTGTGCATGGACGAAGGGGGGTATGTATGATATGCCTCATCATGTCCGAAAAAACCGAATGTGTTTCCCTCTCGAAAAGTGCAAGGACCGCGATGTCGATTATTGACGAGCATGCTGAGTAGTCGATGATGACTCCGCTGCGGCCTCGGAGTCCAGACGCTCCTGCTCCAGAACTTCCTGACCGTTATCCGAGGCCCACATATCGAGGTAGTCCTTTCCGCTAAAAGCCCGCTGAAGGGTGACGATTCTTCCGTCTTTCTCGATTTCTTTCGTGTACTTGGATTTGGTGGGAGGCATACGCTTGGTCACGAAGGGGGTCAACTATATCATACATCTCCGTGTTAGTAATTCAACTCATAGATAACAGTCAATTGAACATTGTAGAAGGTATAATCCCACCTTGAATTGATCCAAGTTTTCAGGCACAGCGAAAGTGCGGACCTTTTTCCAATCGATCACATATGACCCGTTCTTCGCAAAGTAACCCATCGATCCGGTCCGGTTACCCTTGTAGTAGCCACCAAGGACCTGTTTCGTGGTCAGGCGCAAGCGCGCCATCATGGGCTGCGAGGGCTTGAACATGGTGGGCAGGCAGGGAGGCAATTGACGGTCGGTGGGTTGCGGAGGTAACAAGACGGAGCGTTGGACAAGATGTTCGGGGAAGAGACGATAGGAAGGCTCTTTCTGGGCGGCGCTAGAGAGAAGTAGCTCCGCCCCGCCAAGAACTTTTTTCGTGGTCCGCATCGGAAAAGTAAAAAAATCAACGGCTGCATCTTGACAACTTCTTGCGGTGCGTGGTCGCCATTCAAGCTGTTGTTTCTTTCTTTTAATCTTCTGAGATTTATTTGAATAGATTTATTCTTATTTACATAGACCACAGCTCAGGAGCTGCGACACACGCCCATCATGCCTCGCAGGCAGACGCAAATGCGCGGTCCTAAAGACCGGGACCAGTCCTTGCAGAAGTCGAAGAATCCCGCACCCAAGAACAAGAAGTCCGGCAACTACCTGAATGCTTTTGCTATCGCAGAGAGCGAAAACCCCGGAAAGCTGGGCGTTAAGCGCACCCGTCTGGGCAAGCAAGACGAACCGTTCAAACGCAGGCGACACAACCCTCAAGATGACGACGATTCGGACGGCCCGGACTACAGCAAGCGCCGTCGCACTGAAGACGATGAGGCGGAAATGGACTCGAATGCTGGCAGCGATGGCGAAGGACACCGGTGGAGGATTGGTGAGGTCGGTAGTGACGATGACAGCGAGTTGGACAGTGACGAAGCCATGGGTTCCAGTGATGAGGAAAGGTTCGAGGGTTTCACGTTCCGCGGAAGTTCTACAATGAAAAACAAGCCGAAGCAGAAGGCCCCCGAACGCAAGAAGCGCACTCGTGATATCAACTTGTCCGAGGATGCTGAAGTATCGGAGGAGGACGATCTTGAAGACGACGAGGACGACCTGGGAGAGGATGCGATAGATTTGACTACGGCTTGGGATATGAACATGGCAGAGGAGGAAGAGGAAAAGGCCAAGAAGGCCAAGTCTAATTCTAAGCAATCGGCTGAAAGCGATGAATCGGAAGAATACGACTCTGAAAGCGAGGACAGCGACTCTGACGACAATGACGATGAGTTGCCATTATCGGGAGACGAAATGGACGAAGATGAGGTGGATGAGCATGGTCTTTCCAAGCTACAGGACTTTGTCAACGCTCTGAACACCGAGGGTACCACGAAGACGGCTCGAAAGACAGGCGGAAAACAAGAACAAGGGGCCCCTACGGAGTTCGGTCTGACTTCTACCAAAAAACTCACTATTGCCGATCTTTTGCCATCTATTACAGATTCTCGCCTGAAGAGTTCCCTCAAGCATGTCGACGCTGCTACAACCTCAAACAAGAAGACGTCCGGTGTTCCTGGCAAGCTGGATGCGCCTCTTGCAAAACGCCAACAGGATCGGCTGGACCGAGCGGCCGCATATGAGAAGAGCAAAGAGACTCTTGACCGCTGGCTGGAGACTGTCAAGGCGAACCGCCGAGCCGAGCACCTTATGTTCCCTCTGCCTGATCCCGAAGCCAACCAGACGCACCGGATGGGCGCTGCTGAGCCACGAACGGATCTTGAAAGCACCATCCAAAATATTCTTCAGGAGAGTGGACTTACTGAAAACAACGGAAAGTCAGCGGAAGAACAGGTGCAGGAGTTTGAAGAACTCCAGGCCCGGAAACTGCCTATTGAGGAGATCAGGGCTCGCAGGGCAGAACTACGCAAGCGTCGTGATCTGCTCTTCCGGGAGGAAGTGCGCGCCAAGCGCATTAAGAAGATTAAGAGCAAGTCGTACCGTCGTGTGCACCGCAAGGAGAGAGAGAGGCTTGAGCAACAGGAACGCCAGGCTCTCTTAGAAGCCGGCGTGGACCTGGATGAAGAGGAGAGGGAGAAGAACGATCGTCTAAGAGCGGAGGCCAGAATGGGTTCGAAGCACAAGGAGAGCAAGTGGGCGAAGAGCCTGAAGCAGACTGGTCGGACCGCCTGGGATGAGGACGCTCGACATGGCACACAAGATCTTGCTCTACGGGAGGAAGAACTACGGAAGAGGATCGAAGGAAAGCGTGTCACCAACGGGGATGAAGACTACCTTGGCTCTTCCAGTTCTGAGTCCGAAGATGAGGACCCATGGGATGAAGAGGCTGGGTCAGATGCTGAGAAGCGCAAGATCCGCCAGAAGCTCAGTCAGCTGGAAGGCGACGATGATGCTGACGCAGAGTTCAAGGGACCTCATGCCAAGCTCCTTTCGATGAAGTTCATGCAGAATGCGGACGCTGCGCGTAAAGCAGAGAATGATGCTGAAATTCGACGTCTCAACCGGGAGCTCCACGGTGAAGAATCGCAGTCTGAGGCGGAATCTGAAGTCGGTCGGCGGAAGTTCGGTCACAACAAGGAGGAGGCGAAGACAGCAAAGGAAACCAAAGCGAAGCTGCCTCGAAATGAATTCGAAGAGGCACCGGGTTCTGACGATGAGGATCAGCGAGAGGCGGATCAAGAGGTCGACATTGTTGTTGACCGTCCCGCAAAGAAGGGACCGGCCGTCTCCCAAAACAAGTCCCGTGGTCGTCCTCAAAAAGAAGTTGCAGAAGAAGATGGGGAAGATGCTGCTGCTGCGGAGGAGAACCCGTGGCTCGTGCAGACGAACCGCAATAACCGTCGCGCCACCGTGAACGACTCACAGCAAACTGTTGACATCACGCTAGATGACGCGAATGTCAGCAGTGGTAAATCGAAGAGTGCTCCCAAACCCCAAAAGGCATCGGCACCTAGCAAAAAGAAGGTTGATTCCGAGGTGTACGGTAGCGATGAGGAGGAGAGCGTGCCAGTGCTTCTCAAGAATCATGATCTGGTGAAGAGGGCTTTCGCGGGCGACGAAGTCGTGCAGGACTTTGAGCAAGAGAAGTTCGACACCATCAAGGAGGAGGACGATCAAGTGATTGACAACACCCTCCCCGGCTGGGGTAGCTGGGCCGGTGATGGCATCAGCAAGAAACAGCAAAAGCGCCAGAAACGGTTCCTCACCAAGGTCGAGGGAGTGAAGCCGGAAGACCGGAAGGATGCCAAGCTCTCCCGGGTCATCATCAACGAGAAACGGGTCAAGAAGGTAAGAACGACGATCAGTCGGGCTCTAGCGCGTGTGATCCTTAATTTGTGCATGATGAACTAACGTCTGCTGTTTTTGTCCAGAACACCAAGTACATGGCTACGCAACTCCCTCACCCCTTCGAAACGAAGCAGCAGTACGAGAGATCGCTCCGTCTGCCCATCGGTCCTGAGTGGTCTACTAAGGAGACTTTCCAAAATGCAACCAAGCCACGCGTGATGATCAAGCAAGGTGTCATCAAACCGATGGAAAAGCCCATGGTTTAATGTATGCGGTGGTCTGGCTACTACGAGTTGGCAGTCATGATGGGTATCTGGATAGACGAGAGCAAGGCATTTTGCCTGCCTGGGGTCTTTTGGTGGCGTTATTGTAGAATTAAGTTTGGTCATGATACCAAGTCATTTTAAGATTTCTCTGAACGATGGGTTTATTGGTTAAGAGGCTGCGACTAGAGGGTTGTCAAGGTGATGATTTTGTGTCATCCCCGCATCAACCGGATTATTCGTAGCATCCGATCTGCAGACCAGCACTGGTTTCAAGTTATCTTAGTGCTGGACCCTTTGTGCAGGATCTTAGTCTCCGGGATTGGTCACCCCCCTATAAGGTTGTCGAATAAGCAGTGTTTTGGATCCAAGATGATCAGGTCTGGTGAGTCCCTGCACCGTGATACTCTCTTCTCCCAAATGCGGAGTGGTGTTTCCTTGAATGCAGGCCACATGGACATCGAGATTCGGACCGACTTGGATCCATGGAAAGGAGCAAGCCACTCAGAGAGTGAGTTGCGTCCCTTGCAACGACGACTGACAGGGCGGAATGCCACGACGGGCGTTGGCTGGGAAAAATCAGAGATCGAGCATTCAACAATCAAACTAACGAAATTTACTTTAACCTTGGCGTATGGGTACATTCCTTGATGCCTAGGGAGCATACGCCTCTCAGACCAGGTCTAGGAAAGGTAACCGTGATATGGAGAGAAAGCCACAGAGTCAAGTCAAGGACCATGAGACACTCGAAGCCCGGTCGCAAAGCTGGTCGGACAGTATTCAACTTTTGTCCTTTGATCAGAAGGTGAAGGAGGAGAAAGTACGTAGTTTCTTGGGGAAGTATATGAGGCATGGGGGGATGCAGCAGTAAACCATCGATGCTCCACTTGTTCTTGGTTTACCCGCATCTTGCAAACAGAACAGCGACAAAGCAACTCAACAACTACCATCACCCGTCCTTCCACTCTCCCTCTTCTCTCCTCTCCCTTCAAAACCAACTACTAGTTTTTTATCTGTTCACACTAGTAATTCGTCCACGACACACCATCAACAATCAATCAATCAATCAATCAATCATTTGGCCCTCCATCGGTTATGCAAACTATTTTCGATTAATCAATCTGCCCCCCTTCATCAGCTGTCTTAATCATCCGGCTGCAGTAAGCTTCCATCTCCCCTGCACATACCCGCCCGACTTCAGGCAGATGGCGCTCTGCATGCACCACGGCTTGCAGAGCCCGAGGATGGTGCATTCCACCCCCCTCAACCCTACATTCCCCGTGCTATGTTTTCGTTATGCCTCGAGGTCTGGGATCAGACACCACAACAATTGACCATTGTGCAGATCGACGCCTCGTAATACCTCCGTTGGCACTTGTTCCAGCCCGCCAGTGTTCGTCTGGTATCCTTCTGCACCGGGGCCGGAGTTTTGCCCGGGCCTGAGATTCCTACTGGCTGAGACCGGAATCTATACTCGACCTAGGTGAGCTATTTCACTGCTATTTGAGAAATGTCTTGTCCCGCTCGATCTTCTCCTGTTGTTTACTATCCTTTCCCATCCCTTCCTCATATACTGGAGCCTGTCTCTCGAGTGTTCCGTACACTCGAATAATATTGTATACGAAAGGAGACTTGGGAGATCCAAACTTGGATCGTTTCTTGGCTCCTACTATAATATTCTTCTTCTTAATGATTCCATTGCGGTCATTGTTACTGCTTTGTTGCATGTTTTGATCCTTCTCCTCAACCAACCCCACTGGCTGGTCACTTTAATACATATAAGCCTTTTGGCCTTGGGACGCGTGGCGGAGCTTGGACCGTCTACTACACATTTTATTTTCTTTTTTTTGTCCGAAAAACACGGCACAGATCTTCATAATGGAGAGGAAACACAGATGGGGCTCTTCATTCTTACTAATGTGGCTTCTAGCTGCAGAAGGAGTATACTCGGCGCCGAGACACTCTTCTTCAGCTGCGTCCTCGAGGACGCAATTTCCACCGGGTGCTGAAACTGAAAGAGTACTAGCGGGTACAAAAGGCGTAAGTGCCGAATGGCCAGACTATCATGGAGTTGGTTCTAATAACCATTTAGTTCTATCCGACCAGCCTTGAGCGCGAGGGCCATCCGGTGCGCCCAACCCCGACATCCACAGGGAAAAATAAAGACCCCTTGGGGCTTGATGGGCTGTTTGATGCCCTGGGAGATACCGCGAACCTCCCAAACGAATTACTGAGCGAGTTTCTACCGGGCTGGGATAAGAATTACCCAGTGACCGTACCGGTATCAGCATATAAACCGGCTAGTGCGGATACAACTACTTCAGCTACAAAACCACAAACGGAGCCAGAGACTTCTGAGACCTCCACGGCGGAAGCTCCTAGTCAGAACGCCCCAGAGGCTACAACCGACACTTCTCAAACCAGCAGTCAAGCATCCAGTACAACAACAAGCGCGACCCAGTCCTCAAGCTCAAGCTCAGCGAGCCAGGCCCAGCCCTCAAGCTCAGCAAGTCTGACCACGACCGCAAGTCAAACAACGCAAGCCGAGAATTCAATCACTTCATCTGTTGTGCAAGGTAAGACTTTCATTGGGTAAATGTCTTATAATTTCTAACATGCCTTGGCCTTAGCCTCAGTTACATCAATGTCTGGTCAGGACGTCTTTGTGCCATTGGCGACAGGTCCAATTCCGCAAACCATTACAGCGCGGAACGATCATCCTGTGCCTAAGAAAGGAATTGTATGTATTTCCGTGTTCAAGATGTCATAACTTCCCTAACAAACACAGGAAAATGTCACGACACCGATCGAGACAAACAAGTTCTACGCTGGACTCTTCCTAGGTTCACAGACCAATACTACTTTTACCCATCCCTATGGGGTGTCATGGGCGAAAGGAAGCGGGAATGCCCAAAGTTATGGAATGGCCATTTCCCACAACGAGGTTAATGTCGTTGCAAATGGCCCCACCAACACCAACATTCCTGGCAATCCCATCCAGTACTACATCAACCCTATTGGCATTCAGCATATGATTCTGTCGGCCACAGAACTGAATACCTCGACTGTGCTGACCGCGGAAAATCTTCTGCCATTCTCCGCTGACGCTGTTCTGAGTCCCACTCCCGGGTCAAGCCAAAGAATTACCATCCCTCTGGTGCAGGGAATGGGCTTCGTCACGGGCATGTACAACAACCTACAGCCCCTGATCCAGAGTGGTGTTTTCTTCAACAAAGTCGTCACGGCTTCCTCGCCCCGGATTGGCATCTACAAATACAAGGTGTCTCTGGCGGATGGAACAGAGTGGCTTGTTTATGCCATTCCTCAGGATGGAAAGGACCCGGATTTCCGCCTGGAATCTAACACCAACTTCCGTGGCCCAAGCGGGTGGTCTGGTACGATCCAAATCACCAAGAATCCAGCAGGTGCGTCTGGGGAGAAGCTGTTGGACGGCTCTAGCGGCGTCTTTGCTTTGGAAGCTGCTGTATCCGGGTCGGTTCTGAACGGTGCTGGTACATACAATCTGGCATTCGCCAAGACAGGGAAGCAGCTGCAAGAGACACCACTGCTCATGTATGCCCTGCCCCATCACGTCGAATCGTTTGACAACACTACCAAGGGCCGTATGACCAGTATCTCGCTCCGGACAACGACAAAGGGTAATGCAACTGCTGTTGTAGGAGAAACCTGGACGATGCTTGAACCGAACCTTCCGACCCAAATGGGCTTTGACCCGTGGACTGTATCGTCCGGTAACGTCAACAATCTGAGCGCTGCTGCCAAACAAGTCATCCTTTCTGTGGCGCCCACCGAGCTCAACCAAAGCATCGACCAACAGTCAGACCTGAATAGCATGTACTACAGTGGAAAGGCATTGAGCAAATTCGCGACCCTTATTTACACAGTGAATAAGCTAGGAGGTAACCCTGATCTGGCAGCCTCGGCCTTAGAGAACCTCAAGACCGCCTTTTCTCGCTTCATCGATAACAAGCAACAGTTCCCCTTGGTGTATGACAGCGTATGGAGGGGAGTGGTGTCCTCTGCCAGCTACGGAGGCGATTCTGGTGCTGACTTTGGAAACACTTACTACAATGACCACCACTTCCACTATGGATATTTTATCCATGCTGCTGCCATTATTGGGTCGCTTGATTCGACATGGCTTACGGATTCCAACAAGGCCTGGGTGAACATGCTTGTCCGCGACGCTGGAAACTCGGCCGCAAACGACCCGTACTTCCCCTTCTCGCGCTCATTCGATTGGTACCATGGGCACTCGTGGGCCAAGGGTTTGTTCGAGTCGTTTGACGGAAAGGACGAGGAATCAACATCGGAAGATACAATGTTCGCGTACGCCCTGAAGATGTGGGGCAAGACTATTGGCGATGCTAGCATGGAAGCCCGCGGCAACCTGATGCTGGGAATCCTCAGACGCAGCTTGCACAACTACTTCCTCATGGAGAGTGACAACAAGAATCAGCCTGCGAACTTTATCGCCAACAAGGTGACTGGCATTGTAGGTTTGGGTCTGCCCTTTACTTCGATCGTTGAGAACTGACATGTTTCAAAGCTGTTTGAGAACAAGGTTGATCACACTACCTACTTTGGTAACAACCTGGAGTACATCCAAGGGTATGCATGTCCTCTATGAGTTTATTCGTGCATCATGCTAATCTAGTCAAAGCATCCACATGCTGCCCCTTCTGCCTTCGTCTCCATATGTACGAAGCCAGAACTTTGTTCGCGAGGAGTGGAATGCACTCTTTTCGGCCAACGCCACCGACCCTGCGTCGAACGTCACCGGAGGATGGAAGGGTGTCTTGTACGCCAACCTGGCCCTGATTGACCCTGCATCTTCGTGGAACTTCTTCGCACAGTCCAGCTTCGATTACAGTTGGATTGATGGTGGAGCGTCACGCACATGGTATCTTGCATTTGCAGCGGGTCAGTATATCCCTCCTGACTCATTACTCAATAATGTTGCTAACAACGTCGCAGGCTTGGGCGGAGGTCCTGCTTAAGGAGGCAGCATAGCGATGATGCATTTGATATATTTAGTTTGGCATTTTTGATTGTTCAGGACTTCTTTCCTGGAAGATATGCAGCATGTGTTGCTGATATGTTTTGGCTGGCGCCGTCTACTATACCTGTTCATATATCCGACTATCCTGTGGACGTAGTGATATAGATGTTTATTAATGACTTGATCTACATTGGCATCGATAGCAAAGAAAGAAATTATCCTTGATTCTTAGCATCGTTGGAAGTTGTGCCTCTAATACCGACCGTAACATTTTACCCCGACTATCCCCAACACCGCCACTCAGCCGCGAAGCATAGCCCCGAACACCTTCGAAGGCTGTACAGCCTCATAACAAGCTTATCTCTCACGAACACAAAGTGAGATATGTCCCAATCACTCGGGATCTATCGACCCCGCACGTGGTGGGCTGCGTGACCTAGCTTAAACTACTAGTACTTAAGAAGTAGTTCTTATACTAGGCTGAGTGACTGGGGGAGAGGGAAGCTCGGATACGTATGATCTGATAAGTGAGACATCAAATCATCGCCGTGGCTTATACGTTCATCCTAGATAAGTAAATACTACATAAAGTTTGCTAAGAAGGCTGCCTGATGCGGAATGAAAGTAACCATACCTCCGTTCCTGTGGCTTGGGATGATTCTGCTTCTTTGAGGAATGTTACTTACTTGAACAAGCCACAGTAATTTATCTTTCTATCTCATTAAGAGGGAATGTCGAGGGGTTGGGTAGTAGCTCGATCATTCTGTATACCTTACCAATTCTATTTTATTTAGACTAGTTAATTAGTTAGCTAACTACCTAGTCTAGATAATCAACACCCTCAATCCATCTCGATAGACTAGGTACCACTTAGTACTATACTGAGAATCGAACAAAGTGCAAACACAGTAATCTGATTGGTAACTGCACCTCAACCGGTGAGTAACAGTGGGTCAAAACAGCAAGGGACGGGGACGGGAAAAAAGAGTGCACGGATCAAGTTGGGTCTTGCTCTTAAGTCTAAGTTCCGTGATCCATCTGGCAACAACATATTCCTTCGAGGCTTGAAGTTTAATTTCATTTCTCTTGGGTTTGAAGTAGTAAGTTGGTTAACGTAGCTGGATGGATGTCTCAGCCGCTTATTGATTCTGAATACTACACTGTGTAATGTGGCTGTAGTACCCAATCGAAGGGAAGTGCCGTTGGTCGGTACTACTTACTAGTACTTTGTAAATACTGTAGTTGTTGTAAATGGTAGGCTACCATGTTGTATACGAGCATCACAGTTACCCAAGTAGGGAAGTGATTAGTAGTTTAGTTACCTGACGCTGTAATAATGTCATAGTTGGTACTGAGTTTCAATGTTGGTCTCTCGTTTACTTGCTGTCACTCTTTGTCAAGAATATCTCCGGGCTTTCCAATATTAGCAAATCCGGCAGCATGTCATGTTGGAAGTTAACAACGTGTTGCGAACTCTGTGGGATGGTCGATCGATTCCATGTTGACTGAACTCAGAATTTTGTTGTTAAATCTCCCACTCTTCAAAACCCGACAACCAGCTCATAAATCTTAAACGCAGTCAAAACCAGCTACTTCATGGTCCAGAACTTTGTGTGAGTAGCGAACGAATGAGCATGTTACGTCAAAGGGGGGCCATGCCCCTGAGGGTGGGCCTGATCGTGGCAGTGCAAAATGCATAGTAAACTAGTGAGTGGGTTTTTCCAACCCTCATCCGGTGTCACGGCAGTCCAGGAACATGGTATGTTTGATCAGTAGTGATTTATTCATGATGAGGGACTCTGACATAGTGGGGATTATTTTATTGAGGAAGGATGCTATGTAAGTAGGTAGAATTATCATGCTGACTTCTTTTTTAATTTAGTGCACTGCATTAGGTATCAAGTTGAAGAACATGGAGATTCAAGTGATTAAAGGTGGCTGGAGCTGGAAGCATCAGACCCACCCGGATTAGTCCGGGAGCTCTCGTCACAAACAGCCGATTCCTGCTGCTGCTTTCTGGGAAAAAAAAAAAAAAGAAGCTCAGGCTCTATCGATCTATCCTCTGCATTAGTCGACATCACTATTACCCGGCATGGAGAAGCTGGTCCGCACGCTGATGTCTATCACTCTTTCCACCCAGTAAACACCCAATAATCCCAACTTTTCAGTCCTTCCTTTCCAAACTTTCCTTCTTCTTTAAGTACTACTTACTCTTCCCCCCAAATCGCATTCCCCGGTCGGCTTCGGGCAGTATCCTCTGGTCCCAATCGTCTCCCGCGAAGTGGTCAACGTCATCGTCATCCAACTCCCATCATTCTCTCGTTTAAAAGTACCCTTCCTGCCCAGAGAGTTAAGTTAAAAAAGATTTCTAACCCGTCCCAGGTAGCATTACGACTGTCAGTCACTACGCGTACTTACTTTATTACTCTTCCTCAACTTAGCCCCCCCACACCCTGCCACAATCACACTGGGCAGCTTTCCACACTTTCCCCCCCCTCCATCAATCCCTGGAACGTTGGATGATCTGGATTGAGGCTGTGCAGCTGCCTCCCTCCTTTTGGTCCATCCCCTCAGTCTTTGGTCCACCAGAATTTCCTCATCAACCAATTACCACCGTCAGTGGAACATCCGGAATCGTGATCACTGCTTAGCGACTCTTTCGGCTACCACTAAAATTTGTACGGGTTGGAGTACGTAGCCACCATCTCTTGGCCCCTGTACCTTGCAAAACTCCCTTTCTTTGGTTCATTCATCACCCTGGAAAAAAGCTCAACGTGTGCACACGTCGCACGGTTCTAGCCATCCCTGATTCGCCGTGTCCAAGCTTGCAAGGTGGCTTGTGCTGTGATAATCCTTTGCTAAGCACAAGCAAAGTTCAGAAGAAAGCCTACCCACGCGACAAGCCACAACATCAGGCTTGCTCCATCCGATCACGGGGTGCTACATTGGCAACTGACTGTTCAATTCGATTAAGCCCCGTTTTCAAGAGTCGATTGGAAGAAACTATAGATCAGAAGACCCAGTCGCTCATATCGCTTATATCTCTCAACCCCCGTTTGTTGTGGTTCCAGATTGTCGCCACAGGACTGACATTTCCCAATGGGTAAGTGTTAGAGAGAGAACCATCGTTCCTTAGCACTCCTCATCCATGTTTCGAGTCCTGCTCCTACCTAATTCTTAATTCCGTTTCCCCACCTCAAGTTTCTTCACATCTACGTCCCTCTTATTCAGGTATCATTGTCCTTCCATTCGTTTGCTTTTACCTCTCTTGCTGGCTGGCTATGATCGGCACGGCTTGTTGTTTCTTCACGCACACTTAGTTCAGTATACTCTGTGGCAGTATATCCGGTCGTTCATAAGCTTTACACTTTCCCCACTCTTTGTTCGTTTAAACTACTTTGTCGTGTCAACTCGCCTTCCTTTCCTATTTGTTATTCTCACAACACCATCCGTGGCGAATGACGACCATTGCCAGCCTTTGTCTCATCTTTTCACATTTACCCGCCTCGTCCTATTAGGTGCTACGCTCGGTAGACTGGGCTAACAGAATTTCCAACGTGCTTTTACAGCGACCAACAATATCTTCAAGTCGTTTAGACGCTACTCCTGGGGCCCCAAACGGAGAATGACGGGCTTATCATCTGAAAATGGTTCCACGGAGCCTGATGAGAGAGCAGCATTGCTCGGCGACATTGCTCGCAGTAACTCCGGCCTCCGTCCGCGCCAGCAGAAGCAGCACTGGTCTCACTGGCCGAGGCGTGTGGCTCATTTGACCTGGTCGACTCTCGTTCGCGATTATGTCAATGTTCTGCTCATTTTCGTGCCACTCGGTATCGTCTCCGGTGCTCTCCATTGGGACAGCACGGTCATTTTCACCTTGAACTTCTTAGCAATCATCCCTCTGGCCTCTCTTCTGAGTTTCGCAACCGAAGAACTGGCAGCGACCATGGGCCAAGCCCTGGGAGGCTTGATGAATGCCACGTTTGGCAATGCTGTGGAGTTGATCGTATGTATCTCTCGCGAACTTTTTGTCTAATGAGTTGTAATGACCCGGCGCTGACAAGCATTGCCACGGTTAGGTCAGTATCATTGCTCTGAAAGACAACCAAATCCGCGTGGTCCAAGCCAGTATGCTTGGTAGCATCCTGTCCAACATTCTGCTCGTTCTCGGCTGCTGCTTCTTCGTCGGAGGTCTCAAGTACTCGCAGCAATCTTTCAATAGCACGGTAGCGTCGACAATGTCATCCCTGATGACGGTTTCATCTGCTTCGCTGATTATTCCCGCCACCCTTTACGCCTCTTTGAGTGGCTCCAACGATAAGGAGCAAAGACGTGACAACATCCTGATCCTCTCGCACGGAACTGCCATCATCCTTTTGGTTCTCTATGTGATGTACCTCTACTTCCAGCTCAAGTCGCATGCGGAGCTCTTCGAAGCAGCCAACGATGAGCTCAATGATACAGAGAACCAGGGCGGCGAAGTAGAAGAGGCTGAGGAGGAGGAGCACTTGCTCAGTCCGTGGGCGGCCACTGTTGCATTGATTGTCGTCACGGTCTTGGTTGCTATCTGCGCCGACTATCTGGTTGGAAGTATTGACAGCATTGTGACGAAGACTGGCATGAGTCGCACGTTCATCGGTCTGGTTCTCATTCCCATTGTTGGAAATGCCGCAGAGCATGTGACCGCTGTTGTTGTCGCCTGGAAAGGAAAAATGGATCTTGCCATTGGTGTTGCCATCGGAAGCAGTCTTCAGATCGCTCTGTTTGTCACGCCATTCCTGGTCATTCTTGGATGGATTATGAACGTGGAGATGACACTTCATTTCCATATCTTTGAGACCATGGCTTTCTTCATCTCTGGACTGGTCGTGACATTCCTGATCCAGGACGGAAAGTCGAATTACCTCGAGGGTGGACTGTGCTTAGGAATGTAAGTTGCTCTTATGCTACTATATTTTCACTCGCCTAGGAGCCTTTACTAACCCGTCACAGGTATCTAATTCTGGCAATTGCCTTCTACATCTACCCAGATGATATCAACGAAGACGCCCTGTTCAACCACTAAAATTGTTGTTTAATGGGTTGGGCACTTATTGAGCTGCTGCCTACTAGCATCTCCGCTCACTTTCTCATTTTCTATCTACTTCTTCCTCGTCTCTTCTCGAGGTTGTTTAACTCGAGTATATCGTTGTAACAAGCGAGCTAGCTTCCTCGGTTGGGCTTTGTACAGACATGCCCGGATGCTGTTCTAGGCATTTTTCACGTTTTACTATGGGAGGTTCTTTTGTGTTTCATTCAAGCTGCGGGTCAGTACCACTGTATGCCAGACGGGCTACAACAATGTGTTTCAATAGGCCAAGAGCCGAGTTTTCAAAAGTCGCCAATGACTTGGGTCCGTGCTGCAGACCGGAAAACGGGTTAATCAGGAATACCAAAACGCTTTTGTCAGATTTGCAATCATAGATAGGACATTCAACTTAATCTGTCGTAAGATGCAGATTTTCCGTATGAGTTCGTAGTAGATAATGCAATAGAAATCGTCACCCCGTCATCATCACTGTGGAGGCATTCCATCATGTCCGCAATCCAAGGAAATTCTTGGCAGTGGATGACTCAGCCGCGGATGTGGAGAGGAAAATCGTTCGCCGGCCTCCAAGGCAAGAGAGCCAGATTCGGGTCGATGTGACTTCCTCACCTGCCATCCTCCTTGACCTTGATTGTTCATTGAGGGCCTATATCACACCATGCCGCCGCGTCTCAACCTTTTCACCGCACGGGCGGTCCCCGTCCTTCGTCAGTCCGCCAACAGCTCGGCTGCTTCCCGACGCAGTTTTGCGACCATCCTCAACACCAACCGGCCTTGCGCGGCCTCGATTGGCCATGGCTTGAAGTCCGGCCTGTCGGCTTCCGTTCGGACACAGAGGAGGTGCAGCTCCTCGGGCTCTGATGGTCAGGATAGACCCAAGGGCCCGACCGAGGACCCTTTGCCCCATGTTAGCGAAGAGGCCGCGGAGGTCAGCAAGATCATGGATAAGAAGTGCGATGGTACCCCGGCCAGTCCTGAATTGGAACAGGGAACGCCTATTTCTGAGGTGCGTTGATCCATCTGGGATGCCGTGTTGTAGCTGTTGCTACTGCGGCTGCTTCTCCCGCGGTATATCTGGGTCTTTTATATTGACTATTATCTCCGCATAGATTCTGCAACGTGATAAAGAGGCCCTGAAGCATATGCCCAAGGTCATGCAAGACCAGATGAAGCGCCCCTCCGGTAGCCGTTCATTCTCGACGTCCGCTCGCCGCCTGCAGCCAGAACTTCAGGGAAAGGAATTCGATGATGCCTCGGCGTCGGTCGTTGCCAACATGATCTCCCAGGTCAACCAGCAGGCCACCGAACTGCACCCTGGACTCAAGTTCGAAGTGCCCGAGAACCTTCCCAAGACTGAGAACTTCCGCAAGAGATACGAGACGATAGTGGAGCAGTTCACTAAGCTGCTTATGCAAGATGGCAAGCTGAGCAAGGCTCAGAACGTACGTTTACTCTGCCAGGGGAACTTTCTCTTATTTGAGAGGATTTAGACTGACTGGTTTACTGGATTAGACTATGGCATTCATTCTGGATCACTTGCGCACTGCTCCTCCCCCGAACATCAACCCCCGGCGCCGCTTGCTCCCGGGCCCTCCCGCTCCTCAGCTCCCTCTTAACCCCGTCCTCTATCTCACCTTGATTGTCGACTCTGTCGCGCCTTTGCTCAAGCTCCGTCAACAGAAGGGTATCCTTGGTGGTGGTGTGTCTGTGCAGGTCCCTTCTCCTCTCGCTCTGAGACAGCGCCGGAGAACCGCGATCAAGTGGATCATCGATGCCTCTGACAAGCGTAAGGATAGTCTGTTTGGCCAGCGCGTGGCTAACGAGCTGGTTGCTGTTGCTGAGGGCCGCAGTGGAGTGTGGGAGAAGAGAGAGCAGGTGCACAAGCTTGGTGTGGCTGGCCGTTCTAACCTTGGATTGGTTGCGCGCCGGAGGTAGTGTACTTATTCTAGCTTACTTGCGTGAGGGATGGAGACAGAGAGAGAGAGAGAGAGAGAGAGTCCCATTTCTACTGTGATGATATCAGAGGGCGTTCGGCTACATTGTACCTATGATGGTATGCAGTAGGGGAGCTAGAGAGATGGATGGTTGGATGGTGTTGTATATTATCTTGAAACCTGTACCTCATTTTCTTTGACCGTTTTGAAAGCATTTGGATTAGAGAATTTACGCATAATTGATTCAAAGGAAATATCTGACTACTACTTAATACTGCTAGTTTATAGCCTAGTTGAAGTGAGAGTGAGTGATGCGACTAATGGAGTCCTCGACTTTGGCCACGAGCCAATGGCACGGGCGATGACTAACTAACAGCGCTAGTCGCGGCTGGGACCCTCTCCAATTCTGGCCAATTCTGGTCCCCGGAAAGCAGCTTATCTGTAGCTTCACCGATCCGCATTGCCTGCCTCCTCGCGATCTGTAGGATGCACTTCATTTCCTACAGGCATCTTTCCATTGGCGTGTTAAGCGGCATGCTTCATTGACAGCTGGATCGGGTGCAATCCCTGTTCTAGACGCGTGGGGAAGGAGAGTCTGACGCCGATCGGGTATAGTACTCAGTACTAACTATTCCTGCTGGCGTCCCGTGCTTCATCATTATTCGTCCTCCCGATAACGACCAACGCACTGCAGATAACTACCAGGCTAGTTATACACGACCATCAACTAGCTAGCGTTAGCGGCACGACCTGAGAACGTGGAACGTCGCCCATTCAACACCCTCGCACAAATACGCTGGACAGTCTCCGGCCGCTGTCTCTGCTGCCCCGCTCTTCCCTGTCTCTTTTCCTTCCTGTCCAACACCGTGTCGTCGAATGCCGGCGATCGAACCTGGGCACGCATCGCTTCTGCGAGGGGTGCCTCTCCCGACGATAACGACGTAACCCCAAGCGGCCAGTCCATCGAACTCGGCCAGTATCCTGACACACCTGCCACAACTGCCCGCCAGTCTCACGCGACTCTTCCTCCTACCCAGCTGACTGACCCAGGCTCTGACTTTCCTCCCTACCATCGTACAGACCACCGGGAAGGTCATCCTCAGAAGTCTACACCGCGGGACAAACCAGTTATCATCAAATATTGGATAGAAGCTCTTCGTCGTCACCCTCACCGCCACCAGACTAGCGGTTCTGCCGACAAGATGAAGTTCTCACATAGCATTCAGTTCAATGCGGTGCCGGACTGGAGTGCTTATTATCTGGCTTACAGCAATCTCAAGAAATTGTATGTCTACCCTCTCTCCCTCTCTCTTGTCCTCCGCCGGGGGAATTTTCTTCCTATATTGCGAATGTCACATTACACTCCGAGAGTGCATGTTACATTGGCGGAAATTCTGTCTGTTGAATGGATCCCTCTAACTGTTGTCCAATGTTCAGGATTTACTCCTTAGAACAGGAAGTGCATAGATCGGCCGGACATGACCATGTAGATGTTGAACAAGCGCCATTGTTAGATGGCGGCAGTCTGAACACTGATGCGATATTTCGTCGGGCTCTGGATGCAGAGTTGGAGAAGATCTGCTCGTTTTATCAATCCAAGGAGGCGGAGATATTTACAGAGGTCGAGGACGTCCTCAGAGATGCCGAGGAATATGCGCACAGGGCCGATACGATGAATGTCGATCCCATGAGTGATGCCATGGTCAAGGGTCGCACAGCCAGTTCAAGCTCCAGACAGCGGCCTGGGAGCATTGTTCGTCCGGTGCCATCGAACCAGGAACGGCGTCATAGCGCATTCAGTGAAACTCTGGCCGATGATGACGATGACGATGCAGACAGTGACGACGAACCCGCGCATCAATATCGACCGCAGTCGCATGGCGCTGAGTCTAGCAATCCGGATGGTAGTCGTACGGACGACATGAGGGACTCTGTGCTCTGGGGTGCCGATTCTCGGATTCTGGGCTACAGCGGTCCGTCCACGCACCGCGGGGGTGCACACGACGAGCACTTTTCAGATCCAATTGTCGTAGATCTCTACAACTCGGGGCTCTCGCTGAAGAAGCGGGCTGTTGCGACTTATGTTTCCATCTGTGGACTCAAGTCGTACATTCAGCTTAACAAGACCGGATTCTCCAAGGCGCTGAAGAAGTACGATAAGATCCTTGACCGCAATCTGCGTCGGGAGTACATGAATTCCGTCGTGTCTTTGACGTATCCATTCAAAGACTCTACCATGGAAAAGGTGGATGACAACATTCGCAAAGTCGAAGAGGTTTACGCGAATGTCGTCACCACCGGTAACATTCCCCTCGCCAAACGTGAACTCCGCCTGCACCTCAGGGAACATGTTGTTTGGGAGCGAAACACGGTTTGGAGAGAGATGATTGGTATCGAAAGGAAGGCCCAGGCTGCGAACGTCGGTATTCGCAGGACGCTTCTGGGCGGAGACGAGGATCCTTCCAAAGCTCGACGCCAGGGGGACGAGCAGGAAGTGGTGTCCAAGATGCTCAGGACGCCGTTTGGAGTCATCCGAATTCCACAATGGCTCTGTAGTTTGAGTCTCGTCACCCTTGTTCTCATCCTGCTTGTCTTTGGCATTTTGTTGTCCGTCCCGATAATGGAGAAGCCGGAACAGCAGAATTGTCTGGCCATGCTTGTTTTCGTCAGCTTGCTGTGGGCTACAGAGGTTGGTTCATTCCCTTACATCCTTCTTCAATAGCTAACCTTGGAGTCTGTCGCTGCAGGTTATTCCTCTATTCGTCACATCGCTACTCATTCCTTTCCTCGTCGTGATGCTCCGTATCATGTTATCCGACAACAAGCCCCACGAACGCTTAGGCGCGAAGGAAGCCACCGCCGCTGCTTTCAGCGCCATGTGGACGCCAGTCATCATGCTGCTGCTTGGAGGCTTCACCATCGCTGCAGCGCTGTCCAAGTACGATATTGCTCGTCGTATGGCCATGTTCGTCCTGAGTAAAGCCGGGTCCAATCCCAACATCTTGCTGCTCACCAACATGTTTGTGAGCATGTTTCTGAGTATGTGGATCAGCAATGTCGCCTCGCCGGTGCTCTGCTACTCGATCATCCAGCCTCTGTTGCGTAATCTGGCGCCCGATTCCAGCTTTGCCAAGTCCCTTGTTTTAGGTATTGCTTTGGCCGCCAACGTGGGCGGTGCCGCGTCGCCAATCGCGTCGCCTCAAAACATCATCGCTTTGCAGAATATTTATCCGAGCATGAGCTGGGGGACCTGGTTCTTCATCTCACTGCCAGTGTGCATTCTCTCCATTGTCGCGATCTGGATGCTTCTGGTGCTTACCTTCAAGCCTGGTCGCGAGACGGCCGTCGCCATCCGTCCCTTGAAAGACAAGTTTACAGGAGTTCAGTGGTTCATCAGTCTTGTCACGCTGTCAACCATTGCGTTGTGGTGTGGCAGTCACCAACTCGAGCATATTTTCGGAGACATGGGCGTTATCGCCATTATTCCGATGGTCCTGTTCTTCGGCACGGGTATCCTAAATAAAGAGGATTTCAACAACTTCCTCTGGACGATCATCATTCTGGCCGCTGGTGGTCTTTGCCTCGGAAAAGCCGTCACGTCCTCGGGTCTCCTTCACACCCTTGCGAATGCCATCCGCCTGCGGGTGGAGCACCTCAGTCTCTATGGTGTGCTGCTTGTGTTCTCCGCCCTCATCCTGGTCATTGCCACGTTCATCTCCCACACTGTGGCCGCCCTGATCATGCTCCCGCTTGTGCGACAGATCGGACTCGGCATGGATGACCCGCACCCGAACCTGCTCGTGATGGCGAGCGCATTGATGTGTTCGGTAGCCATGGCTCTGCCGACCAGTGGCTTCCCTAACATGAGTAAGTCGCCCTCCACTGACAATACCCAGATAAGTATGTATGTACTGACAACTCGCAGCGGCCATCATGACCGAGGTGCCCCAGACGGGTCAGCGGTATCTGCAAGTCCGTCATTTCTTCACCCGCGGTATCCCCGCCAGCTTGATGTCCTTTGCCGTGATTGTAACGGTAGGATACGGGCTGATGTACATTGCTGGACTGTGAGCAGTTATCACTGACATCTCACACTAATTGCTTTGCTATCTCTTTTGATTCATGTTATAAGTGGTGGAATGCGAAAGATAATAGGCCTGCTCTGAGTTGATTTAGCCACGCGGCGCGATCTGGTCTAGGCATGCTCATTTAGATGGTGCGTTTTTATGGTGGATGTTGCTTATGGTTATATTCGACGGATGATGGTACCGATTTACTTTCTTCTTTTTTTTCTTCTCGTTTGGCTAGATGATGAACGATAGAAATATACCAGATTTGAAGCTATAGAAGTAGGAGGAGTAGGCTATAGACTCAATTCATTTATCCTGTACTAGGAACTACTGACCATTGAATAGAAATGGTAGTATGATGGAAAGTACAGGTCTGTACAGCACAATTGACACAGAAAAGCAGCTCCTGCACCTGCTCATGCATAGCACAAGAAAAGAAAAGAAAAGAAAGAAGTAAGCAATATCATCATTCATCAATCGCGTTATGAAATGAAAAAGACAACCACAACCAGATCTAGACCGTATCAAGCAACAGTCAAATCATAAACATAACATAACATAGTAACATATGTATGATGAAGAAAACCACAAGTCGGTCAAGTAGTAATAGTTGTAGTAAGACGAAGGTATCGTATCAAAGCATCATCAAGATCCAACAGAGAGAAAGAGTATAGCAAGACACCGCGACCCATACACACACACATATGAGCGGAATAGTAACTTAAATAATGTCCAACGAGACTGACTTTTTCCTCAACAAGAAAATCCCAGTACTCTTCCTCAAAACACACTCAGTTCCTGTCCCGCACGAATTAGTCACGTATGTCCCAATATAAGAATGTATGTGTGTAATAGTGTAGTAGTAAAGTATATCGCTCGCTCGATTTCACGAACTGATGTATATCAGATAAATTATAGTAGGGTGGGTTATAATCAAGTTGCAACCCAGGGGCATGGCATCAAAGGGGAAGGAAGGAAAAATGGGGGAGAAGAAGGGGGATAAACATACAACAACCCAAGGGTAAGATCACCATGAATCTTAGCCTTCAACTGCACCTCAATATCCAGATTGAGATCAAGTCTCAACCTCAACTGCTCATCCTTGCCTTCCTTTTCTTCCCCGCCGCCGCCTCCACCGAGGATCCCGCCCACAGCTTTGCCCGCACTGCCTGTTACTCCGTTCAGTGCGTTGCCTGCTGTGTTTTGGACGAGATCACCGGCTTGGCCCACGCCGGGGAGGCCGCCCAGGGGTCCGCCGTCCTGGCCTTGTTGCTGTTGGGGGCGCTGGCGGCGCTGGCGGCGGGGGCGATCTACTTGTTGGTTGTTGTTATCCATGTCGGAGTATTCGTCTCTTTGGCGGAGTTTCTGGGGTGGTCGGGAGCGACGTTTACGGTCTTGGTTGGGTTGGGGGGCGCGTTGTTCTGGTTCTGGTTCTGGTTCGGAGTCGGAGGATTGGGGTTCTTGTTTGGGGGTTTGGTGTTTTCTTCTTCTTGGTCTTCTTGTTTGGGTTGGGTGTCTTGTTCTTGTTCTTCTTGAGGTTCTTGTTTAGGTTGAGGGTCTTCTTCTTTGTCCTCTTCTTTGGTCTTGTCTTCTGTGTCGTTATTGTCGTTGTCGGTGTTGGTGTTATCCTCAGGCTTCTGTTCTTGTTCTTCCTGATCACCAGTAGGAGGGTTCTCTTGTTGAGGGGAGGAAGGGGAAGAAGTAGGGTTGTTGTTCTCTCCTTCTTGGGAAGGGTTATTGGTAGAAGACTCAGGCTGCTTGGACTGATCAGACATGATGAAAGAAAGAGAAAGAGAAGAGGAAGGGAAATCAACGAGATCTAATACTTCAGCGGCGGTCTGGGGCACGGGGACGTACACTATATAGGGCTCGGCTGGACCGTCCAATGGCCGGGCAATATTTATAGATGCAGGTTGAAACTTACCCACGGAAATACGCAAGGGAGAGAGACTAGAGAGTAGAGAGCAGGGTGAAAGTAAAGATGAGGGAGGGGGGCGGAGGCGACGTCAGTCGATGTATGGAAAATAAAAGAAAAAAAGAAAAATATGGGGGGGGAGGATCAAGCCAGTATGTCATTTGTGCCACTCATCCTCCACCTTGCAGGCAAGATGAATGAATGAATGATGGATGACGATGATGATGATGATGACGTCGCGTGGATGGAGTCCCTAATACATCTTACTTACTAGTATCTTCACTTTTAATTTAGTACATCGGAGAAATTATTGGAGAGATCGTCGCACTTCGGCCGGGATCGCTTAAGGGCATCGTAATCTTCCTGGGATCATCTTCATCTTCTTGTCTGTGACTGGGCTGGATCCACTATACGACGTCAGTGCACTGACTGGGTTTAGTTGGTCCACCTGAAAGCCTGTCAGACTTTACTTGGTCCCCCCTCTCTATCTTTTCGATCTAGTCTACAGTAACTGTGTCTATTAGGTATTTTTTTTCTTTGTCTTTTTCTGCCTTTAAGTTGATGGCAAAGAACTATCCCGGGTATATGGCGACTCGGATACAGTTGCCGCGAGACTTTGAAGGGATAACCGTGGATGCTGGCCGAAGGTTTCTTGGATCACACGTTCGGCCGGCGGCAATGCAGACGAGGGTTCCATGGTCCAAATGTATCACAATCAGGGAATGAGTATCCGAAGTGTCGCGATGGAGGCATGTTATTGATGGTGACACAGACCCAACACCTACAGAGACAGAATAGAAATTAGACAATAGAAAAAAAGAGGGTCCGGGCAACGTGGACATCGATGACGATCACTGGCTCGACCGTCATCGGCTGACTTGAGGATCATCTCAGACACAATGCCGTTGACGATGATGATGATGCAGTCATGGTGGAAAGTCTTCAATTTTAATTAAACGAAGGGAAGAGCATCATTGGTGAAGGTGAAGTCGCCCAGCCGCTCCCTCCCTGCGCCCACAACGTCATCCTCCCATCCTCCAGCCCTGCACGTTCATTTCTCCACATCTCCAAACAAACGGCCATACATCATTTTCTGGTATTCGTTTCGTTTTGTTCTAGAGTTTAGGTTTTCCCTTCTTTTTCCCTCCGAAGTGTACTCCCTTTTTTCCCATTTTTGCCTGTTCAATTTACTACGATTATTCTCACTGTCTGTCTGTCTGTTGTGTCCGCACTCCGGCCGACTGACGAATTGCCCCATCCAGCAATCCTAGCGAAGACTGACCACTACTTACTTCCCTCTCTTCTTCGCCTCCCGCATTCGGGGTCCCTTTTGTATGTAAACCAACCCATGCCGCTCTGCCCGCTTTCTGCGAATCTAACTGTCACTTCGGGCTGGTAGGAAATTATATCAATCCCATCCATTACATCTCTCTCACCACAACCCCCGCCATCCCCATCTTCTGCCCCGTTTACTACTCCATCCCCCATAATCTACTACTAGATCAACATGGCTACCGCTCAGGCTGAGAAACCAGCCACCAAAACCTTTGCTAATGATCCTGATGATGTCTCCGACTACGATTCCGAGGATGACTATTCTGATGACGATACCCAACAAAAGCCTCAACAACAGCAGCAACAACAACAACGCCGTCGTCGTCGTCCCCGGCAGCAAGACCCCAACGATGAAGACGACACCTACTATTCCGATGAGTACTCGGATGACTATGATGACTACGACGATGAAGATGATGACTACTACGACGACGAGGAAGAAGAAGTCCAGGCCATGGAACGCTACCAGCCCACCACCATCAGCAGCCGCGACAATGTGCCGGCACAACCGATCGCAAACGGCGGTATGCAAGAAGCGGAAGGTAAAACCGGCAATGACTGGGAGGATCAAGACGGAATGAAATTGAAATTGGAATTGAACTTGGATATTGAAGTCGAATTAAAGGCTCATATCCATGGTGACTTGACGTTGTCGTTGCTGTAAGTACCTCCCCTTTTTCTGCTTCTGATTGATCACAATGATTGCGGCGGCGGGGAATCTGGCCTGCGTGCGGACCAAATGCATGCAATGCAATCAATCAAATCACTTAATCTCGTTCGCTACTAGTACTTGATCGAGATCCGATGGTTGACATGATACCCATTCTCTTTTCCAGCGCATGATTTCGCCTCTCGCCTCTTGCCTCTTTGCCTCCAGCACCGCTGCATTTCTATCATGTTCATCCGTCTTTTCTCCGTCGCCGAAATCCCGAGCGTGTTCGGTTGTCGTCGAACAGAACCAAATCAATCTTCCGGCCGAATTAGTTCAATGGTTCGTTCGATAAAATCCCGGGGATAAGAATGGGTTTCTTTTCTTTTTCTCTTTTCGCCACATTGCTGGCGCGTGTGTGGTTGACCGTCGGTCGGACGGTCGGTCGGGTTCCGTTCCTGGCGATCGTTGCACTTTTCGTCCATTTCGGCCGGCGCTCGCAAAATCCACTTCATTCCATTCCGTTCCGTTTCCGTTATGACGTTTACGAAAGGACTTTCCTCGGTGCTTTTCTTTCTTCTCTCAACAATAGCGGTTGTTATTTTGCAATGAATTGCCTTGTATTCTTTTTTTTTTTTCTACATTGCCATTGTTCGGATAGAAGTGGCGACTGCACTTGGGTACTGATGTATGCGATGTTCTTATCTATGGTGATGCTGATGCCGATGCTTATTTTGACCCATCTACTCCATATTTCAGTGTCTGTGCGCACTTATACCTTTGTTGGTATGGTTTGCTTGATCTTTTTTGCAGCTATCATAACGAAGGATATACTTTCTTTCCGAATATATCATTATATGTCGATGTGTTAGTAGTGCTCTGTAGATTTCTTCTGCATATCATGTGCTTCGGAAACGCCGACCGTAGATATACGATACTCCAACAGTCACCAAAAAGTATCGATTCACAACAACAAAAGAGAGCAATCTACCTGACGTACTTCAATGCACTAGACTGTAACTACTGCAGAGCAACTGGACTCATCTAACGTATATATCAAATCACAATATGCATTGCATACTTCTAAAGTACTCAACCCTAACTTACCAGATGGAGCCTAAACGAAGTAATAATGAAGAAAATGAATATCTTGAAATAATACTCTAAGTTTGCGAGCAAGGAAAAACGACAAGGAGATCCGTTTGTAAAGGGTTCCTTTATAATATCCAGATGCATGTGCCGTTGCCACCATACCCTTCCGTAGTGATACGCTGCATGGAGGAAATGTTTATATCACAGCAGTACATCTCTTCTTCTGGATATTCACCGTGGAAGTTCAAGTCTGAAGAAGCATCCTGAGATTGATGGGGTTTGCTTGATATGCTTGAATTTATAATTCTCGGTCGATCTCATAATAGGTATAGATGCTGTTTACTAGTTCTATATCTCAAAGATAGGTACCTAAAGTCTTCTGGTGGTGTGAGTTGGATACATGACGATTAGCAACCTTTTTATTCGTATTCCTCACATAATTTCTAGTTATTGTGAATGGTTGTGGAATGTAACTAGGTGCTCTTTCTTAGTAATTCATCCCAATACTTTCATTACTCAATTGGCGCTACCAGATTTTGAAAGTCAGATGTCGAGACATCCACTATGTCAGCTTGCCTTATTTTTTTTTTCCTTACCAGAGATATCACTGGGTTATCTTAGCCAAAACACCGTTCCTGCAAGTAGTATTAAAGACTTGATAGTAAGATATATGTTTCTTGCGCAATAGTCGTCAAGACTAATGAAACAACTGGCCAGATTTATACTCGCTGCTATTGTTTGTGGACTGATCTAAGTATTTAGTTGATTGTGATTACTCTCCTACTTAGTTCGAAGATCCAAACCCTATAGGGTAAGGGGGGATATAGTCTAGCTACTAGTATATGATGTACTACAGAATTTATAGGGAATAAAAACCTGTTTTATGTTATAGCTTGAAGCCTATCTTAGCTATTCATGTTGAAGAACATTGGAGTAGCCAGCTATTTATTGCTGGGAATAGAGTATCAACAACTACTACTAACAATATTAATGTCAACTCTGTTTACATGGAACAATGATATCTTATGTGACTCAACGCAATGATTATGCGATGAAACGATTGAAATGTACAATTGGTCAATATAAGATAGAAATGCAAGCGCATTCGGCTGAGTTGTGATACTAGGTTTTCCAGAGTTTACATATATCCTGGTCAGTCAGCGACTACACAGTATAATATTGCATGTTTGTACTTGCATTGAGGCTGTCCAAGACTTGGAATTGGCCGTTTTAAGTATGCTGCTCTTGGGAGATCCTCTTCTTCAATTATAGCCAGGTAAAATTAATTGTGCCGTGACTCAGTATTCTTAACTGTTTATCAGTATTGCTGGGAGTGATCGCTATACTATATTGACCAGTTAGGTAAAATCCAGCGTCGCCAGATTGTGAGCGACACTATAAAGTTCGGTAGTATACTGGACATTGTGACAGATAATGGCTTTAAGAAGTGCTGGTCCTATTAGTAGCTCTAATTGTGATGTTTAAACTGCAAGAGTCATGATTGACTGCAGTAGTAGAAAAAAGTGTGCTAGTTCAGTTACCAGCAGAAGGAGCAAGGTGCTCAGAATATATAGTGAGACTTTTACTCCATGATATAGTAATTCTAGCACTGAGATGAAACCAACATTCACTAAATCCTCTCAATAAATAGTATACGCCACATAGAACGATAATAATATACTAGAAACAAGTAGGAGCCGACAATTTCACGTGTGGCCTCAATATTGCGGAGTGCCAATTCCTCGGGAAGGGTGAGCCCATCGCGAAGATGACAATCCCGAGGTACTCTTGGCGGGATCGAAAAGGAGTCTCGCAAACTGCCACCACTTGATCGCCTAAACCCGCGCATACCAGCAGCCATTTCCTAACTACTCAACATATATCAATCGCCAAATTCCACCCAACACAAGAAAGGAAGTCAAAAGAAAGAAAAGAAAAAAAAAGCAGTCAAGAAGCAAAAATGGCACCAGACCGCTCCAACATCTCCTTCACCATCACCCACATGAACGCCAACCACCAAGACTCCCTAGCAGCCTATCTCCAAGTTTACTGCCACGTTTCCGCGCGCGAAGCCAAATCTGCCCGTCTCGAAGACATCAGCTTATCCGATCTCGTCATCAGCGCCAATGGCACACGCTACACCGTGCCCATCGACCCAGCAATGGGAAGTTTCTCCGAGTCGCGATCCCGCCTGGTAGCCATGCACCAGGAATGTCTTGCGCGACTGGGTCGGTCGGACATTACCATCAAGGAGTATCGGCGGCCAGAGGGGATTGAAATCTTTCTCTTCTTCGTGTTTGCAACGGCATTGGTGGCGTTCTCTCGACGCAGTAACTTCCTACCTGGGTCGTTGTTCTACGAAACGGTTGGACTGGGGGCGGTTCCGCCACTGGCGCAACTGTTTTACAAGACACAGCCGTTTGTGCTTACGGTGATGGGCGGGTCGCATGTGGTGGAGGCTAGTTTGCTCACGGTGAAGAGGTTGAGGCGGCATGGAGTGCCGGTGTTGTCGTTGGTGTGGTGCGCTTGGGTGGTGTCGAATTTGATTGAGGGGTATACGGTGTGGATGAGGTTTGATCGGATGGTGAGGGAGGAGGGGGCGAAGAAGGAGCATCGGAAGTAGTCAGATACGTTGTATGTAATTCAGAAGAACAAAACATGTCTATCTACCGGATTAATGAACCACAACACATTAAGACATATTGAACTACTACTACTAGACTAGTGTCTCCTGCTCTATTGCGCAGTGGCTTATCGCTTATCGGCTAGTTAGCGGGCATCGACTAGCGGCTTACTCATCAAATCACGGGACCAGACTAAACCAATCTCAGACTAGGGTAGTAGGGCAACTTCCACAAGCGAGCCACAGTGCGAAATTCAACGGAAGCCGACGACAAGCACTCAACTCCTTACGACCAACCCAACGACCCTTGCCCGCTGCGTTCCTGGTGAAGGGCTGCAGGATTAGAGGTGAGTTTGTTGCAATTAATCCGTCGTGATTTCGATCCCTCTCGATTTTTTCCCGGTGTCGTCGACGGTCGGTGTGCGCGTGCAATCTACGATCGGTTTCAAATTGAAGAAATACATTCCGGGGTATATCGAAGAGTGAAGAAGAGAAAGATCATCAGAGCAGTTGTTTGGTGCAAGGGAAATATTAGCGGCGGCGACGACGACGATTGAAAAGAAAAGAACAACTCAAAAGAAAGATTTTTTTTTTCTTCGCTTTCTCGTCCATACCCGAATTCGCACTCATTTCCAGCATCGAGCATCGCCACACACACACACACAACGCACAATACATAACAATTCAATTCAAATCGACTCGACAATCGCACGAACAACCATCGACGCATCGGGGCAAATTCTTCGAAAGAGGGATTGACAATCACCGACAACAGTCTATTGCTATTGCTACTAGCGAGCAATCCCAACTAATTCTTCTGCCATCTACAGTCCCCTCGAACAGCAAACATGGGTATCTCACGCGACTCTCGTCACAAGCGCTCGGCTACCGGCGCGAAGAGGGCCACCTACCGCAAGAAGAGGTATGCATGAGTTCCTACTGTCTCTATTCCAGTACATCACACTACGAAAGAATACGACTGACGCACGGCAATCCAACAGGGCGTTCGAGAAGGGTCGCCAGCCCTCCAACACCCGTATCGGAACCAAGAGAATCCACCTGGTCCGCACCCGTGGTGGTAACCAGAAGTTCCGTGCCCTTCGTCTCGAATCCGGCAACTTCTCCTGGGGTTCTGAGGGTATCTCCCGCAAGACCCGTGTCATCGTTGTTGCCTACCACCCCTCCAACAACGAGCTCGTCCGCACCAACACCCTGACCAAGTCGGCCGTCGTTCAGATCGATGCTGCTCCTTTCCGTCAATGGTACGAGGCTCACTACGGCCAGCCCATCGGCCGTCGTCGCCAGCAGAAGACCGAGACCACCGAGGAGAAGAAGTCCAACAGCGTTGTGAAGAAGCAGGCTGCTCGCTTTGCTGAGCAGGGCAAGGTCGAGTCTGCTGTTGAGCGTCAGTTCGAGTCCGGTCGTCTGTACGCTGTTGTGTCGTCCCGCCCCGGCCAGAGCGGCCGCGTGGACGGATACATCCTGGAGGGTGATGAGCTGGCTTTCTACCAGCGTGCTATCCGCAAGTAAAGAAATCCAATACACAAAAGCGAATAGTTCACGTTGTGTGGTTGTTAAGTTAAAAGGGCTGGATGGATCGGAGTTAGCATTTTCCAGAAAATTAGCTCTGAATTGATGGATGAATCAGATGTTCACACTTTTCTGTCCTTAGCAGATATCAACTGTAGTGTACTTCCCGTAGTGTAGTTCATACCAACCTAACTCACTAGTGTAGTACCTTGTTATCCGATGACGAAACCTCCTATCTACCTACCTACTAACTGACTTAGTTAATTAATTAACCCCTCATACCTACCTACCTACCTACATACCATTGATGTAACCACCACACCTTCCATCTATATACCTTCCCCCCTCTCTACCCCATACCCTCTCCCACCTCACCTTATATCACTACCACCACCACAACCAACACAATTAACCACCATGTCCACCACCCACCCCCAAACAACCCCAAAACACCACCAAAAACAGTGAAGACATCAATCCTCCTCCTAAGCGACACCCACACCCTAACCCCCTCCCCTCCCTCCCACCCCGCCAGCACCACCCCCTACCGGCACCCCCTCCCCCCACGGACCTCCTCATCCACGCCGGCGACCTCACAAAAGTCGGACACAAGCACGAGCACCTCACCACGCTCTCCTTCCTAAAGTCCGCCCCAGCACCCCTAAAACTCATTATCCCGGGCAACCACGACATAACCCTCGACGAGCCATACTACAAGCGTATCGGGCACTACCGCCACCGCTACCGCACCGACCACACGGCGCCCTCCGCAACCGCCGGAAGCGATAATGTTTCCGCGGGGAAACTCACGCTCGGTAGGGGACTGTCTGATGAGGAGTTACGGGAGATAAAGGAGTTGTATACGGGGAAGGAAGCACAGGATGCAGGGATTAGGTATCTGGAGGAAGGGATGCATGTGTTTAGGTTGGGGAATGGGGCTGTGCTGAGGGTGTATGCGAGTCCGTATACGCCTGAGTTTTGTCAGTGGGGGTTTGCGTACCCCCGAAATATGGACAGGTATAATCCTCCGGAGGAGGAGGAGGGTGGGGATGAGGATGGGGATAATGGGGAAGGGGAAAGGGGAAGGAAGGTAGTAGTAGTGCCGGATTATCCCGGGGTGGATGTGATGATTACGCATGGACCGCCGTATGGGGTGTTGGATCAGGTAGTGCCGAATCATATGAGTGTGGGGTGTGAGCATTTGTATCGGGCTGTGAAGAGGGCGAGGCCGAGATTACATGTGTTTGGACATATTCATGAGGGGTATGGGGCGACGAGGAGGGAGTGGAGTTCGGGGAATGAAAGTGTGATTCAGTGTGATAAGGAGAGGACGTTGGAGGAACGGTGTGCGAGGGTGGATGTTAGTGGGGAAGGGGGCAATGGGTTGAGGGTTGGGGAGGAGACGTTGTTTGTTAATGCGAGTGTGGTGACGGTGCAGTATCATGCTGTTAATGCGCCGTGGGTGGTAGAGATGGATTTACCGGCTGAGTAGGACCCTATTAGATATGGAGTTTGGAGGTGCCTTGATGGTACTTGGTTTGTCTATGGAATAGAGGTACAGTATATAGTTATTTATTTATTTAATGGCCGTCACTTATGTTTGTGACATGGTAGTTACTCTGTTAACACTGTTAATGTTAATGTTACACTGATGCTGTTCATTGCAATGCAACTACCTGTACAATCACCGATATGGCATAATAATATACATGTACAGTCCAACAAACGAGATGTCCAACAGAAGGGAGAGAAGGGAAGTAGGTATCTCACTAAAAAAGGTATATCATGCCTGGATATGTCAAGAAATGAAAGTGCTTTAAAATGTAATAATGTCCAACCAGAGAAGTGAAGTATAATGACTGTGCAACCGGCCGGATTCCACGCTGCAATGCAAGACAATGCCGATGTCGACGCTGAATGAAATAGAATGCAAAAATGATGAATGTCCAGACATTATCAGGAAGAAAAAAAAGAAGTCCGCGAGGTATCACTCCTCACGCACGGGCGTCTCCGTCCGGAAATCTAAGCGGCTACCCTTGCGACTGACCCCTTTGAGCAGACTGAACCGCTTGAACACGGAGTCGCGCATGCCGCCGCTCTGGCTGACCGGACTCATCAACTCAGGGCTGCGAACAGAATTGACACTGCTCCGCGTCACCGGCCGGGGGTAGTCGGTGATCGAAGGAATCGTCGACCATCCGCCCTTAGGGCTGCTCACGGATGGCCGATCGTCCGCAGATGTCCCATTCGTGTGGGAGGTGGTCCGACTCACGCTGTCGTGCGACTTGCCTGCCGTGTCGCGAGAAGCACTTCTTGTCCGTTGCTTCTTCTGGCTCTGGCTCTCTTCAGTCGCGCTGGCGCTTATCGACAATGACGATGCGTGCTTGTGTAGCACATCGCCTAATCGGCTCCGTCTCTTGTGATGGGTGTCTCGCGACTGAGTAGTTGTCCGGCTGTGAATGGTGGCTGCATCATCCTGATCGACCTCCCCGTTGACGTGCTCCTCTGTAGTTGTGCCATTGGCCTTGGTATCCGACTGCGGCTTTGGATCTTCTTGCACAGTAGACACCGAATTGCTCGCCGCGTGATTGCCGCGCTTGAAAGGGTTCATGACACTGATCCGGTGACTGACAGACTGCTTGGCAGAGTGCTTGCGACTATGGATCTTCCGCGAAGAGCGAATCAGTTCCTGCTCGGGACTGAGCGCCCGCGACGCAGGCGGCTTCTGGCGTTCCTTGATGGACTCCGGAGTGCTACGCCGAGGCCACTGAGGCGTCTGTTCAATTTCTGCCGGACGGAGCGAAGAGATTTCCGGTTCGAATGCCTCTTCAAAACGGCGCGTCAACTCGGCTTGCGTAGCCTGATGCGCCGGCCGGTGGTACAAGGCCAGCGCTTGCTTGATAGCCAAGGCATGGTCGATGAGGGCCACTGCCAGTGCATTCTTCATTGGATCGACCGGCTTCGGTGTCACTAGGCCACCCTCCTCCTCTTCATGCGCATCAGACAAGAAAGGGCGATAAGCAGCAACGCAGTTGGGGGTGGCTGCGTGAAGGTCGAGCAACTGTTCCAAAGCCTCGCTGAGGTTGTTAAAGCCTGTGTCCTCCCCGGAGGCCGCCCGACGCTGCAACATGGACAGCTCATGTGTCTTGCGCCACGTCCGTTCGAGCGCCGTATGCAAAGGCGACAGTGCAACTTCCTTCACCTCAACCACCTCACTTCTGCGGAGGATGTTCGGGAAAGGCTCTGCAGTGGTATAAACCGTCTTCTCAACCCACTGCTCCTTGACATCCACGTCACGAACGTGCTTTCGTAAGGTTGAGCTGAAGTGACAGGGCTCCGACACCAGAAGATGGTCTCGAACGGACTGCGGGATCTTCGAACGTTGGTAGACCGGATGATCCACGTCGCGATGAACACTGACAGGATTGATGTGCAGGTATTGGCCCTCGTAATCATGCACTTCTCCGGAAGACACGACCTGCGCAGCCGGGTGCTCTCGCTGCATACGGTCAATGAAAGAGACCATACGCTCCGTCGGTGCACACTCAATGATAAATTGCTTGTCACGAAGAGTGGTAGGGAACCCGAGTCCCTTGTATTGCACACGGAAGTACCGCGGGAACTGCTTGCTTTCCTTTGAGATGAGATCGTAAATCTTGGCCATGGAGCCGTGTGCTCGTGAGAGCTTGGCAAAATCCACCACAATGTCTTCGTACTGCTGCGCGAGTTCCTTATAGCACACCAGTGCATGTGCCCAGGCTTTGGCGTCCTCGAAGTGTTGAATAACCGCAAAGTAAAGGGCTTCCTTTCTCTCGAAAGAAGTCTGTTCTGGGAAAGGCGGGTTGAGCAGCTCAGGCAACATCCGCTTCGGATCCCAATCATATAGATCGGCATGGAATTGAAGGGCCAGGCCGGCCTCGGTGAAGTTTCCTGCTGCAGCCTGCACCTGAGCGAGCTCGTGGACGTAGCGGATGAAGATATCTTCACGACCCATGTCTTTCATGTACTTCATCAACCGAAGAGTGTGTAGGCTCTCGGCCATCGAGCCTCCCTGAGAGGCCACGAAGAGGTCGAGCAGCTCATCCACCGTCGCAATCAGGGCCTTGACCGCATTGGACAGGTCTTCGTCGTAGTCTGCGGAGCTTTCAAAATGATCTGACAGCTCAGCGATGAATAGTTTCTGCACAACACTTTCGCTCATGTTCTTCCTCTTAAAGAGGTTGTCCAAGCTGGAAATAACCTCCGTTTCGATTATAGAGAGATCCTGGTTCAGACTCCATTCGCTCAGAATCATCGTCCGTAGGATGTCGACGGCCACGTGCCGTAGTCCTTCGTGGACACTGAGACAAAGCTCAATTATGGGTGCTACCAGGCCAGGAACATACTGCACCTGATAGCCGCCCAACCGACTCAACCCGTACTGTTCTTTCTCCTCATCAGTGGTTTCCCAGCCGATTGATTCCCAGCTGGAGTGTAGCAAGTCCGCACCCTGTTCCCGGACATCGCCCGCGATCTTCCAGATGGCGCGTCGCTTCTGCTCGGGGTAGGTCTCAAGAGCAAGAGCATCACTCGAGACAACCTTGAGCAAAGTCATGAAGAATGTCTCCCATAGTCTCGTATCGAACGTCTCCGCATCATCCGGAGATGGAAGGAATTTATTGGTCAAGATGGTTGCCAGATACTCCAGACTCTTGACAGTCGCCCGGTGGTTGTAGACATGAACGCTGAACCAGCTTTCAGGATACGCTTCGCAGTTGAGGATCGAAGTATGTACTTCGAATGCCTGTGTAAGGAAACTGGAGAGCTCTAGGCCCTTCAGCCGGGGCCGCTTGGGGTTGGGTATTGTCGCCGCTCCAGCCAGAACTGCGGACAGCTCCACCAGCGCTTCGTCGAATTTTTGAGAGTGCTTGGAGGATTTCACCTGGAACGGGAATGTTTTGCTGAAGAGCAAAGAAAGGTAGGTTGTCTCCTCAACACCGTCAGGGATGATGGAATAGTATGAGGACACAATCTTCGGCACGAACTCGTACAGGAACGGGTCTGGTTGCTTCAACAGCTCCGCCACGATCGCGCAACACAACCGGACCTGGTCGCGGTAGAGGTCCGATACAGAACCTGTCGCACCCCAGTAGGGTGCCAACCAGCTGATACAGCTGGACACCAGGCTCTTTCGCTCCGATCCTGAGCCGAATATCTCTAGCCGTGTGTAGTGTTGGATGAGAACCAGCTTATAGAGAATCAGCATGCCCGTGACATCCTTGCATGAGTCGATGAAGCTGAGTGCGATCATGATCGCCTCATCACGACTGAGTACTTTCGAGAGCTCTGGGAGCCAGGTGTGGAAATGCTGAACCACGAGGGTTTTGTTCCCCACCATCGCAGGCGAAGGGTTTTTCATTAGAGCCTCGAGCGACTTGAAGATTGTATGCAGATCCCGGTTAAACGTCGACTGTACTCTAGTGATGCCAATACCTTCCTCTTTCTCTTTCTGCTGCAGACGGGCATTGATGATGAACTTGAGGACATGGCGTCCTACCTTGAACGTTGCACGGAGATTCCGCGACTGCTGAGCATCGGAACTGGCCTGAAGGAGACGTAGATAGCTTCTGACGAGACACGGCGTAGCGAAGGGGAAGTTGAATTGATTATCAGCGTAGTGATCAACTAACGGGCCCAGGTTGAACCGTCGGTCGTGAACAATACCAAGAACAGTCACGAGATCGTTGAAAATCAAGTCCTCGTACTCTTCATTGCCTGCATTTTCCACCAAGATCCCGAAAAGGGAGTCCAAGACGCTGCTGAGCTGCTTCACAATCTCGATCTCCGGGACAAAAAGCACACGCTTAAGGGTATCTAATACTTCGTTCACAGGTCGTTCCCTCCAGTTCAGAAGGCCGAGTATCACCTGATCCTGTGAATATTCCGTGCTGCAGAGATGCGTATCCAATCGCAGGGTAGCCAAAGGACCGGTGATTGCCTCGTCTTTCGCTGACTCATTCTTGCCCAGCGAACTCCATGGTAGAGAGAGATAAGCTCCCTTGCCATTCTCGATATGCGACGTATGCTTATCGTAGGCATGCAACAGGAGCGAATGAGGGCCGTCGCGCATGAAGGCCTGGTTGTCCCACAGTGGCATCCAGGCAAGCGCAAAGGGAAACTCGGGCGCATCTGCAATACTCATGATCAAATGCGATCCAGGGATCTGATCGGTGGGGATGTTGAGACGAATGGTTTGGTTCCAAGGCGAACCCCGATCGGCTACTGTGGTGCGCCATGCTGTCTGTGCTGCATGGTTGGACGCGGGGACAACGCACCGATCAACGCGCGCCCCCGACGATGTGCGGACCTCCAGAGTTAGTTGCAGGTTACGGAGTCCTGTATGCCCTGGAACCGGAACTTGACCGGATTGCGGATGCGAAAGCAGTGCTTCTGGAGGAAACGTCGCGTGGGAGATTGTCACGTAAATATCCGACCGAGGTTTTGTTGGGGCCTGAGAGAAGCCCATCCTCCTCGTCTGAACGACATTGTGCAACGATGTGGGATTTTTCCGGACCAGGCTATCTGCGTCGGGGTCCACATAGGGGTAGAGGTGGAAATGCAGACGAGCAGCTCGTTGAGAGCGCACATACTTGCCAGTAGGGCTTGGAAGTAATGTGCGAACAACGCCATCGAAACCATCATCTCGTCCCTCTTTATCCTCGCCGTCCTCAGATGGAGACCAGATATTGATCACCTGCTCCGTGTCCTTTTCCTGACGCAGGATCTGAGAAACTTCGAGGAAACCCACTCCTACCGTCCGAAGCTGAGTCGATTCTTTAACCGGCTGGCTGCTAGACTTTTCCTTGGCACTTGTATTACTTCCAGATGACGGAGGCGGAGCTTTACTCGGCTCCTTTCCTTGTTCGGGACTTGTGATACCGCGTGGCTTCGAGGTCCACATCATACTGCGGCGAGTCCTGAGACTCCCCTTGACTGATTGGTTAATCCCATTTTGCTGCTTGTTACCAGGAGAGCTGTCCCGCGAAATAGACGTCCTCGGCTGGGCGGCGGCGGCGCTGCTGACGACTGATGCAGTTTCTGGGGCGCGAACCATGACGACCATGTAGAGTCTCGGGCCGTTTGCAGCGCTGTCGCCAATATCCGTGCTGCTCAAGTCGGTGAACAGCGTTTTCAGTTTGGCGCTCTGTCCCATACTTGCAAACTTCTCGGGCGAAGGAATGTCCAAGATGTACGTCTCAGAAAGGGGTGTGAGAGCTCCCGTCTCCGACTGCGAGCACAAGTAGACAGCCAAAGTTACTGGCCCGGGCGCATGTCCAGAGACGGCATTGACTTCGAGCATCAAATGATGGAGCGCAGCGGCGTCTGATTGCTGCATGGGACTGCTGTCGAGCATGCTCATTTCGGATTGTAGCCGAGCCAGTTCTACGGCCGAATCCTCCCCAGTGAGCAGACGCCCTCTTTGCTGAGGATCTCTCACAATGATCTCGCCCCCCAGCGCTTTGTTTCCGCGAACGAGTTTCCAGACTACTTCCTGCCGCAGCGCATCCTTCTCTTGTGCGGTGAGCACATTATACAGCAGCTGGCGCCTTGCGAAATCGAGTTCCTCGACGATCTTCGTCATCTCCTCTACCGTAACATACTGGCGGGAGAGCAATAACTGATGTAGATTGGTGGAATGCCATTCGCGTAGGCAAGAAGCAATCTCGTCGACGAGTGGCTCGGAGAGCGAGGTGGGTGTTTCATCGCCAATCTTGAGCATTGGCACAGGCGCGGCTGGTTTGGGTGCGTCGGGGTCTCGAGGGGCCACGTTGATGGGGGCGAGCGGCATTGAATTCGTCCGAAGGAAGTTCTGAGGGGAGCGCGGGCTGGCTGGGCTTCCGCGCCCATCTTCGTCCAGCCTCTGAATGAAAATCTGAGACGGCTTTCCTTTTTTCGCGATTACGACGTTGGATACTTCCCCGAACGCGTGGTCATCATCTTGGAAGGAGGCCATGCTATGGCGCACATCTCCCTCCGGAACCGTGAAGGCGACACTCGACCGGTCGCCATTGGTAATTGTCTTCTCTCCATCGCCTAGCACTTCACGGATCTCGACACAATTCCGGGGAAAGATTCCAGAGAATACTCTCGCCTCTAGGGTTTGACCCTTGGAGCTCGTCAAGCCCGCCAACAAGGATGGCGGCGCGACGAGGTAACCACGACACCATTCCCCATTGGCGCCACCTTGTTCAATTATATACAGCTCATCACCAAGCTCCAGAGGCAGATCGGCCGGGGTAGTCGGCTGAAATGGGTAGATAGCGACAGCGAAAGCGATTCGAGGCAGAGGCCGCCAGGGCATATCTGCGATCGAGGCGGCAGTCCAGAGCACACCCCGCCGCGGCGTTCGTCACAATGGGCGTTCCGAGGAATGAAGGAGTACCGATGAAGCGGGGTCGAAGGGGGGAGGGGTTCAGATCTGACAGTTCCTTCTGTTGATTGATTGAGGGGCGCTACATGCAGGTATGGTATGAGAAGAAAGGGAGGAATGTAGACGGGGTTTTTTCGAGATGCGGAAGCGCGAATTCGAGGTGTGCCTTGCGATATTGGTGTCTTGCTAATTGGAATAAAGGGGGGGATATGGAGTGTCAAACTAGATGGCCATCACCAAATGTGCGGTTAGCGAGAGATAGATTCCAGTAAGCGAAACGTAGGCGTGCTTTGTTGGCGTGTCAAAGTTAGAGAGAGGGTCATGATAAGCGGAGGAGCAAAAGCCATCCAGGAGCGGGTGTCGCAAAGGGTCTCAGTGACCGGAACACCGCTGCAATTGGGGCCAGCGGAATTCTTTAGTGAAGGTACTAGTGACCGTAGCTGAAGTAAGAACCGTGACGAGGAGAGCACCAGTAAATTGATTCCTTCCAGCTTCAGGCCTCCGACAATTTTGGTGGCAGGCCCCCTAGCAGTGGAATGGGAGTGGAGCCGAGGGAGTTGTTCACTTGGCAGGAACTGTGGAGAAGGCACACAGATGAAACGAAGGGAGGGGGGTTTAAAGGAGGAGGGGAGAGGAAGAGGAGGGAGCTTACCCAAAGCTAAAAGGGAATGTAGGAGAGGGAGGGTAGAAGGGAAGGGGGGGGAGAGAGGAGAGATGAAATTGAAGGCGTGGGAGAAGAGGGACGATAGTAAGAGCCACAGAAAAGAAGGAGAAGGGGAGAGGGAGAGGAAGAAGAAGAAGAAGACTGATGATCACAGGGCCGATGATGGGATGCTTTCCATTGAGCAGGAGAGCCTGAGGATCGGGGCGGGAGGCGGAGAGGGAGGCAAGTGTTGCCAGTAACAGCCTGAGGCTAGAACATTGCTTCAAGGGTAACTCGACTAGCGATTCCCCGAGCAGGTTGATTAACTTTAATTGATCGTTATATTGGCCTCGTCATTACTGATCTTATGCTTCCCACCCATCGGTAGGTCCAGAGAAAATTGGAATTGAGCTTGTCTGATGCTAACTACTGTATATTCCACATATCCCGCGCCCTCCTTTTGGGGGTTTGTGTCCAACGTTGCTAAGTTGTGCCTGGTCCATCCAACAAACGGATCTGGCACACTATTCCAACTCATCCATGGGTCCATTTCCGACCGATCGAGTGCAAGCCAGTGAAAGTGGAGAGGAGGCTGCGTGTATCCAAGTTTCACCAGCACGTTTCCTTCCCTCGAATTTATTTTATTTTTTCACTTATTTTATTTTTCTTTTCTAAGAACGTCCATCCCGTCAGAGGAAGAGCAAAAGCAAGGGGAGACAATCCGCCCTTCCTTCCACCATTGAGGTCCGTGAACTTTCCAATAGCTGTGGGATATACTTAGACTAGATTGTAGTAGGTAAGACTTATACTTGGGACCTGTCCATGTGTCCAGACCGGCCCCGACCGTCAATAGATGGATGTCTTAATCCTTCTCTTATTATCTAACTATCTTATATTTAGATGATCAACTCGCTGATTACTTGTTACAAAGTAGATACTAGTTAGTTAGTTAGGCACGGAGCCAGGCTGACATGTTAATACATCCAGCACAGACCCAGCGCGTGGCCCCCTGAATCCAGGGCTATAAAATCCAACTAAACTAAGTGAGTAGAGTACTAAGTAGATACCAAAAAAGGTTTGAGATGGAGTCGGAGCATCTGCCCGCTGACTGGTCTATCCGGCTGGGCCGCTAAATTGGTCTCCCTCGCTTTTCTTTTTTGAGAGGCGTTTCTCTGTCCCTCTTGGGTGATGATCTGCCGGTTGCCAGTATCGGTTCCTTCATCGTTCATCATTACTCTCTACAATGATGTAGAGTAGACTAGCTAGCTAACGTTACTCCACGCTCCGATTATCCCCCAATACTATAGATGCCAATCTTATGGACCATCCCTTCATATGCAATGGAGTTCTCTTTCCCTTCTATCGCCTCACTTGATATTCGGTACAGCGCCCGCGCTGGATCGAAATCTTCCTAACGCTGCTTCCCGTTCCTCTCTCAACGTCGTTTACTCTTTCGTCCCACCAGAGCAAATGCAGTGCGACCTTAGCAGTCAGGTTACCAATTACCTTCCTCCCCTTCATTGATCACGGGCTATAGATACATCAACTGGTATAGGTACTTAAGACAGAAAGCAAGAAGTGAAGAACACAGAAAAAAAATGCAAATATCCAACCCATGCGCCCATCTTATGATGCGCAAAAAGAACAAAAGTCCTACCATATCCACTTCATCCAGACAACCTTGCCTTTGATAGGCGGTCGTCATGATGCGGGGATAGACCCTGAAAGGACTCTGGCCACACGAGTCAGACAAGGAAAGAGACACCGCTCTTCACCTCTGGAACATGGCAATGGCGTCCTCCTTGCGCCATTCGAGCTCCAACTGGCCTTCGTACACCGCATCAACAACGCGCCGGGTCCGATCGTACGCTTCCCCATACCGACCCTCGCACTCCCGGAGTACCTTCAACACCAAGCTCCGACTCAGGCCGGGGTCGTCCGCGTCACCGAAATGCTTCTCGACCCGCTTCTTCAACATTTCGATCCCTCGCCGAATTTCCTTGGCATCGTATGTCGCCAACACCTTCTTCGCCACCGATCGGGAGTGGCTAGGTCGGCTGGCAATGTCGGCGGGGTTTATGCCCGTCGCCACTAGATTCTCCACTGACTCAATAAACTCTAGCAGCTTGCCCAGTGGTCGGTGAATGATGGAGTCGAGGTAGAGTTTCATATGCTCCTGCATGTCTTGGTGCGCCCGATCGCGCCACCGCTCCAGGACGGGGAGGCTCCGGACATCGACCTCCTCGATGTAGTGGTTCATGTTTTCAATGAGGAGAATGTGGTAATTTAAGATTTCCTTATCTTCCGGGTCTCCCGAAGTCGCAGCCGCTCCCGTGGGTTGGCCCGGCGCCTCCTTGGCGATGAACTTGAGCGATTCCCACATGGCGCGGTTGATGCGATCGTAGGCTTCGTTTACGTTGACCCGGATGTCGTAGAACTCTTGCGAAAGCATGTTCTCCACAGCCGTGGAGAAGTGGGGGAAGACACGCATAAATGAGATCACTCCTTTGCGCTTGTTGACCTTGACCTTGGTCTCCTCGATGCCTCGAATTTGCTCGTCGACAAACCGATTGAAGAGGCCAAGCAACCGGGAATGGAGTTTTTGAAGAGAGTGGATAACAAAGTCCTGGTTGGTGTCATCAAACTCGGAAATAGCCTTCTCAATGGCCAGCAATATTCCAATTCCTTGTCTACATGATAAAGTCAGTCTGTAGTCTTTTGACAAGCGCACAGGAGTCAACTTACAGTGGGTCAGCTCTGATAGCCCAGTCCACAAGGTTTTGCATATCAGTCGGCCAAAACGCGAAAAGTTCGTCCATGATCTGCTCAACTTTCTTGGCCATCGCTCGGTCGGGATCGTGCAGCTGTTTAGAACCAAAACTGGGTATCCTGCGCTCATCCGGAGCCCCTGACATAACCAGGTCTGGAAAGTCGACCGTTGAAAGCGAGTTGAGATGGAAGAAGTAGACGATAAAATTCTGCTCTTCCGAGATCATATGCAGGGTCTCTTGAAGCGTTCCCCCAAAAGCTTCGAATGGCTCCAGCTTGCCCTGTTGCTTTTCCCCTGAGGGAAGCCTGAGGCCTGCTGCAGCTCTAATGGTCTTGCCTCGTCGCACTGTGAGTTTGCGGGCCGCCATGGTAATTCCTTCAGACTCCTTCTCCTTCTCCTGGTGAGTAAAGAGGAGTTCCTGCTCCTCTCCACTAGGCTTCCTCGCCGCCTTCTTCCACGCCAGGTTGTTGTCTCGGAAATCATTCTGGTAAGGGTGTTTGGCCTGCTGTTCATACAAGTTGATGAGCGCGTGCCACTCTCCGGAACTAACTTCCCGAGCGAAGAGGATCACAGCATGATACTGCCACAATTCACGACGGGAATAGCCACGGGCTTCGCTGTCGAGCTTCAGGGGGTCCTTTTGACCATTGGCAGCCGCATCAATCCTCTTTTGTTCCGCAACCTTGTATGCAATAGCCATGAATTGCTTCAGTCGTTGTAAGAACACACGAGCATGTGTGCGATACTCTTCCTTCTTTTCTTTGATTGCACGCATTTGGCCGATTTCTGTGTCGGCATACACGCCCAGGCTGCCATGGTCTCCAGCCGCATCGGCAAGCCGCCTCTTGTTATGCCAGATGTCAGAATCAATCATCAACATCGCTTTGTACAACGTAGATAGGGCGAGTTCGGTATCTCGGAGGCCATCGGGATTGCTCAATGACGACTCCTTCAAGGCACGAACGTCGTCTGAAGAGATGGAAAGAGTCTTGAGTAGGTTTTGTAGCTCGTTCTGAAGCAATTTTTGATTGGCTGTTTGCACCTGTAGACCCTGGGATTGCGTTTCGATATAAGCCACGTCATCGTTGAGAGTCTGTTACCTCCGTTAGCATACAACCGAAGTGGCCGAGGCGATGGAATAGGGCCAGGAAAGGCCGGCAAACTTACGTTGAGCTCATGGGAATACAAGGTAAGGAGATTGTCCAGCTCCTCACACTCCACGATCGTCTTGTCGATAAGTTTGGCAAGTTGATCGATCTTGCCCTCCTGCTGTTCGAGGTTACCAAGCCAGCTGGTAGCCTCTACACGGCCAATCTCTCGGCGGATGTCTGCCTCCAAATCTTCAATCTTCTTTTCGTCTCCTAGTCGTCCGTTCCAGCCTAGGTCAGTCAAGATATCGTCAAAGTCAATGCCACGCCCTTCAAGAACACTAGGGTTGAGTCCGAGCGCTTGACAGTACTTGATCGTGTTATCCTCGTGACGCCTGCGGCGACGATCATGGGGCGAAGGAGACACGGATCTCGATCTTTCTGTATCAACTTTTACAGAAGCTCTTGATGTATCTCTTGGCTCTGCGAGTACCTCAGTCGAACCGACCGTAGGTTCTTCGGGCGCAGGTTGAGTCACTTCAACTGCGGGTGGCTCCATCCTGGGGGGTTCGGCAGGAGGCTGCACAGCTGGCGCTGCTGGCGGCGCCAGTGGCGCTGGCGGTTGCACCTCCTTCTCAGGGGATGAAGATACAACTGGGGGAGTCTCTGCTTCCGGTGTCGCAGGAGAAGTCACCGTATTCTCGCTGTTAGTCCGAAGCAAGAACGGAGCAGGCACCACGCTGGTAATCCCATCCGGCTCATCAGCGGCAGCCTTCTGCTTTTTCGCAGCTGCGAGAAGCCGCTCACCAGCACCACCAGGCCTCGGCTTGAAGGCCCCATGGGCAGTGGCAGCTTTGCGGAATGCGCTTGCAACGTCCTTGGTCTGCTTCTTCTTGATCATCGGGCCAAGCCCAGGACGGTGTGCATCGGGATCATTTTCTTCCACAGGCTCAGTGGCCTCCAGATCACTAGGAGGCGGTGGTACTGCAGCTGCAGCAGTCTCTGCTATCGGCTGAATCGGCTCTGGATCCTTTGTCAAAACCGGCAGTGTCGGAGCTGTGGGCACCGGCGCCTCAGCAGACTCGACGGTTGGTGGGGGTTTGTTAAATCCTGAAGAGCCTGGCGTGAGTGCTGCTGGAACCTCGACGGCGGGGGTATTGATGGGGTTGCTCGGGGGCTCAGGCTCCTGTCGCTCTGCTCGTGCGGGCGAGCCAATGGGCTTTTCGGCTGCTTCCCTTAAGGGCGATCTGGGACCCACGCTACTACCCGGACTATGCATGAAGGTGAGATTTTCTCCAGAAACCGACCCAGGTGTAGTAGGCCGAAGACCGTCTATACTGCGGCTGGGATGGAGATCCTGGGTACGAAGCGTAGGTCTGGACTCAGGACCTTTCCGCCCGTCGCGTGAGGATGGTGGTCGGGAGTCAGGGAGGGGACTTCCCGACCTGGCGTCTTCAAAATTGCCATTCGACCGTTCCCGCTGACCGGCAACAGGAGCGGCCTGCAAACTAGAGGGATAGTCCCTATTCCTCGGTTCCGGGGGAGATATTATGGGCACCTTGGGCACTCTGGAATCCGCTGCTGCAAGACGTTCGGCTGCACGGGGAGGTGGCTGTTCGCGCTGGTCAGGAGGCATTGGCGGGGCGTGTTGAGGAGGACTAAACGGAGGAGTACCGCTTTTACCAGACTGGCCAGTAGACGGTCTCCCCATCTGATCCCGACTTCTTTGCGCACGTAGGGCATGCTCCTCAGATGGTGGTGGCGGTGGTCGTCGTGGTCCATCGCGACTGGGCGCGCGGCTAGAATACGGTGACTGGGGCCGGCTGCCTTGTGAAGAGGGAGGCCGCGGGGGAGGCAGGGTCACTTCAGGACGCGGAGGACCAGGAGGAGGGCCTTTAGGAGCTGGCGGACCTGCAGCTGATGCACCAGCAAGCAGCTGTCGTTCACGCTCATCGAAGCCGATCAAGGTCGGTACCTTGCCGCCAGTGTATTTTCTGTAGATCTTAACGAGGCTGCCTATGAAGAAATCCTTCTCTTTAGAGGTCCGTGCATGCCAATAGTAAGGCTTTCCAACGGTGACGATGAATCCAACATTGGCAGCCCACTGCTTGTGTTGTTGTTCTAACGGCGTGCTCGGGACCAAGGCGTTGTAAGACTGGATTGAGGAGAGGTCATCCAACATCCATGTCTTGCCAATCGAGAACGAGCCATCATTGTTCTCGCGCGCCTTGTGCATGCGCACTCTTCCTGACCGTCTCACAGCGACAATGATCACACGAGGTTTCTTGTTCTCGGGCGGCGAATTGGGCGGAGCGGGGGTGGACGGATATGCCGCATCTTCCAAAATGCGGACATGTGTTATGTAGGACTCGACCACTAGAAGGAGGAAGGGAAATCAGTCGACCGGACACCTTGTTAGGAGTGGAGCGTGGGAGAACTGCACATACACGAGCCATCGCTGTCTTTCTTGCCAAAACAGCTATGAATGATCCGCCGCTTCTCGTCCTCGAATTTCTCGGCCCTCGACATCGAGGCATCCCCGGGGCCGGCGTTACCGCCATTGCGACTATCACCAGCTCGACGAGGGTCTCTTTGAGGGGGCATCTCGCCGGGCGGGGGACCCCGCATGCGGTCACGACTACTCATGGTTGCTAATCGATCTCCGAAAGCCTGGATCACTCAGGAGGTGTTCGGGGATCAAGTGGACATGGTCGGGAAGACGGGGGCAGGGATCACACGGGGCGCGCGCCGTGGGCGAGGACTGGGATGGTCAGTCAATCGATAAGCTCCAACGAGCAAGATCGTGATTCATTCAAAAAGCAAGTATATTGGTAGAAGGCGACGCCATACACGATTTGGCGCAGAACCGAGTTCCAAAACCGACGGAAGGTGGAGGAGGAGGAGGAGGGAGCCAGAGAGGTGGGATTAGGTCATTCCTTAGCCACTAAGCTACCGTTAACTTGGGAGGGTGTGAGAGTATGGGCTAGCGGCTGCGGATACGGCACGGAACTTGGTCTCGGCGGAGGTGGCAGTAATTACGATGCAATTGTAGACACACTCCTCACTAGGGTCGATGATGCGAAAAGTAGGACTAGCTGTATGCTAAATTATTTACTGCATTCTTGGAATTAGGGGAGTTACAGAGCTCGCTCCTCAGTAGATCCCCTATATGCCATCCAGCACTTTTTCGAGCTTGTACAACATAATTATGTAAGCACATAGAAGCGTTTGCATTAAGCGGGCACGGTCCACTCCGGTTGCCTGTGCATAAGCAACTAACTAACTGTCATGCAGGATGCCTGAGTCCAATCCAATTTTGGATCCAGTTTAACCTCACTTCTCGTCTTGGGGCATCGATTGGGAGAAATACCCAGCTGCAATACTGACCATAAAAGTGCTTCATATATAGGTATCTAACATACTAATGTCTAAACTTGCGAACGATAGGGCTGATTCGGTTTATTGGACCCTTGAGCTTACTATATACTAGTACTAACTTGTGCAACTGGAGGTGAGAGCCAAACTGACAGCTACTATTGATGGTAGCAAGCACAGGAGATTGCCAGCGGGCTTCAATCTCCGCTACAGGAACAGAAAAGGAGCAATGGACTACATACCGGCCCGGTGAATGTCCTCCTCTTTCCTCCCCACCACCCAAGAACGATCAGAGCAACAAACCCTGCGAGTACTACCCTCACATAATTTATGTCGTGTACCGTGGCCGGTAACCAGACAGGAAGACAAAAGAACACCAATATGACTGTCACCCAGAGAACAGCAACCGCATTACAGCTATGGACGGACAGGATATTAATGCCGTTTTCATGAGTGATCACGGCGTGCTTACTTATAAACCAACAAGCTATCGAAGCAACAACAAGGCCAAAGAAAGCCGTTAGGCTCCCTCCCATCACCAAAGGTATCGATAGGATACCTGCGTAACCAGCCCATGAGTTGGTAATGCTGTATCCCAGGGTCAAGGTTGACAAAAAAAGAGAATTGACGAGGAAGCTCGGCATGGGCATTGCTAGGGCTCTCGATATCAGACATCCCGGCAGCTGCTTTCTGAATCCAATGAAGAAGAATCAGCAAAGACACCTTTCGTGCCATGATATAGGCAGAATTCAAGGAACACCATATGACTAAATAGATCGTAAGTATACACATAAGGTTCAGTTTAAGTTAGAGTAACGACTAGTTACAGGTAATGAATGCACTGACCCGTGGTACGCAACCCGAACTGCACCGCTAACGAACAAGACGGAGGTTATTAGTATATTTAAAGCATTGAACCCGCCCGCACATCGCAGTAAATGTCTGTGAGCATAATGTGGCAGTGATTGACGTGTTTAATGTATTACATTTGGATTGGTCGCACGGACAGGCATGCAGCTTACTTTGCCTGCGTACTCCATATTCCCCTATCGGGAACTGTAAACTGTAAACTGTAAACAGACCGAAGATAAGCCTACATTCGCTCTTGATAAGGCGGATTTCCTAAAGATCTTTGTCATTATCTTCACGCGGGAATAGGAAACCTCCGATGAAGGCAAGATATAGGGAATGTTTAATTGGGGTGGATAGTAGTAAATGCATAGACACTGAAATCCAAGAAGCGAGTATCAGATTACAACACCCCACACTGAGAGTGAAAGTAGAAGACAAACGAAACCAAACCCTACACACATATAGACTAATCCGTCAACGAAAATCGCGCGACTTCTTCTTCCGTAGAGGCAACATTCCTTACAGTCCAATCCCACAAGTCATCCTGCTTGCTCAGATCATAACTCTCCTCACTCGAGCGAATCTGCTCCTTCCCCTCATAATAAACCCCACTACTCGACGAAATCTCCTTACCACTGGCCAACCAAGCCAACGTAGCCCCCGACACCTGCGGCAACCTGATATTCGGGGTTCCCAGCAACACACGCAGAAGCGGAATGACGCGAGGGAGAATCACATGCCAGAGAAAGCGCAAGACGGGGTTCGCTTCACGGACCAGCCCAGTCCCAGGCATGAGACCAGGATCAAACGCAACAACGGTCCACGACTTAAGTCTTGCATCCTTCGACTTATTGAGACGCCGATGCAGCGCGTACACCCAAAGAACGTTGGCAAGCTTGCTGGTTGAGTAACGCTGGCGGCCGGGATTCTGGGCTGTGCTTTTGGTCGGTTGAGCGAGTTCCTCCGCACTGGTGTACTTTGCGTCGGGCAGGCCGGTCTTTTGTGCGGGATCGTGTGTGCCGCTGGAGGTAACTACTATCCTTGCTGTGTGGGCGAGGTGGGGGATCATGAGGGAGAATAATAGGGCGTGGCCGATGTGGTTGATCGCGAAGGTTTTTTCGTATCCGTTTACTGTGTATTCGACGGGTCCGGGGAACTGTAGGCCTGCGTTGAGGAGGAGGTACTGGATGGGAGGGTATTTGTTGGTTTCCCATTGTTGGACGAAGGATCGAATTTGGGATAGGTCGGAGAGGTCGAGTCGGAGGTAGTTGACGTTGTTTTGGCCTAGAATTTTGTTTATAGAGCCGGCGGCATCTTGAGAGTTGGATCGAGATGAAATTATTACTTGATAGTTGGGGAACTGGCGCGCGAGTTCTAGGGTGCAGTAGTAGCCTAGACCGGCGGTACCTCCGGTAATGAGGATGCTGCGAGAATAGGACATGTTTGTAAATAGGAGGGCTGGGTTTGGTGTCTATGTCTGAGGCGGGCTGATGCCATATTTATGCCCCAATATCTCGGTGTTAGGAACGGAGATATGTGATCCATGCTGTGAGAACTATGACCCTTCTAGGGTTGGATGAGGCAGCAATGTTCCGCTTCGGGAATAGCGGGAACGGCACCGTCGATATCTCGAGGCGCCAGTCTGGACCGGCCACTCATCTATAAGAAGGCCATGAATGAAAGGATCAGGGGAAAATCGTCGCTGCCGTTCCATGCTAGTTTCTCGTGACAGCTTGGCCGAGATGGGCTTGGATGCAAACATTGTATCTCCGTCTCAGCCGGATGACCCTGACCCGTCCCAGCTGCTGCACTATCTTCCGGATTACGAGGTTGTCATTTGCAGTACCTGCCGATATGCCGTCCAGCCCCATGGGATCTTGCGTCATCTGAAAGATATTCATCGGATCCTCCGTGGCCGCCGGCGCAAGTATTCTCATTACGTTGCCAGCTTGTGCCTTAGAGAGCCCAACGACGTCGTACCTCCCAGTGGTGCTGATCAGTTTCCGGTCCCATACCTACCGGTTGAGCCCGGTCTTCGATGCCAGGCAGCTGGTTGCATGTATCTATGTGCTTCTAACAAGCGTATGCAGTCACACTGGAGGACTGTGCATGGACGAAAGGGCGATTGCACCACAGACTGGCGTCCGGTTCCCCTACAGACTTTCTTCCGCGGCAATCACTTACGGTATTTCACTTCTGTTGGAGCAAAGCCACATAATGATTTGCCATCCTCTGTGCTCGGTCCACTCACAGCAGGGCTTTCAGGAGACCAGCTCCATGCAGGCCTGGACTCCATGGACTCTGCTCTTCTGGACCACTACCTCCGACACACATACCATAGTTTCACCACCAACGAAGAAACAGATAAGATATGGCGCTCGGTTGTGCCGGGATTAGCACACCAGAATGTATTCCTTCTGCATGGCCTGCTAGCCTGCACAAGCTTGCACAGAGCATACATGAGCTCTGAGCATGCGAACCAGGAAAAGGCATTTCTTTTAAGAGCCTACCACCATCAAGGCATTGCTCTCCCGCGTTTTCGGCACGCGATTGAGCATCCTACGGCGGATAATTGCCATGCCATTTTGGCATTTGCATATCTGCTAGTGGTATACTCTTTTGCCGCTGATCAACCTGGGTGCTCAGACTCAAACTTGAGCGAGGACTCGTTGCTTCTAGTGGATCGGAATAGTGGCGAAGGCACCGAGCTTGATAGCATTCTTTGCAACTGGCTATACTTTCTCCGCGCTGGTTGCTCTATGCTGTGTGAGGTATGGGAGCAGTTGAACGAGGGACCCGTCAGAGCACTTTCGGAGGCCTGGGACATTGATTATGGTTACGACCCAGAACCCTCATATTTGACACTTCTCTTGTCAGTGATCCCAAATAAGACAACCGTCACACAAAGCACTGGCGATATAAATGAGACGACTCTCGTTTGGCCCGAAGATGTAACAGCCATTTATCAAGAGGCTGCCATTGTTTTGTGCCGATCATTTGCGTACGTGCGTGCCCACCGCGGACTACTTACTACCTGGGACGTTCTCCGCATATGGCCCATGGAAGTGTCGCTAGAATACATGGCTCTTCTCCACCAACGGCACCCGGGCGCACTTATATTGCTAGCGTACTATTGTGTTCTGTTGAAGCAGATGGAGAGGCACTGGTACTTCGAAGGGCGCGCGGCAATGCTAATTCGCGCCATTCAAAGACATTTGAAGCCGGAGTGGCATATATTTATCCGGAAGCCATTGCATATGGTTGAAGGAGTACCTGATGATGGCCATCTTCTTGAGAAGATTTAGCTATCTCTACAGGCAGTTCGGGGAGCATTCCGTGTCGGACAGCGTAGTAGTTTCGGTATTGCTTCCACCAGCGGATTATACCGTTCACAGGATGAGCCGCTGAGGAGCCATATGGAAGGTTAGCACATCAGGATTTACCCTCTCGGCGAGTCAATACATCGACTTGACTTTGACTTCACTATCAATGAGTACACCTGAGAGATTCATTCCAGCCTTTGGTCCAGAATCTCTAGTCCCTGGCACGTGACCCATCGTCTCACGGAACCATAATCACGTGAGCCCCACGTAAAAAGTCAGCCGAGCAATCACGAACCGCGCCCGACTGACCGCCTTTGATGTCTTTGTGCTGTTTTTTCCTTCCTTTTTTTTTTCTGCCTCGCCGATAAAGGGAAACTTGAAAACATCCAAGGCAATCTTTTCAATTTCGCAGTTTGCAGCGTTTGTGCCAGACAGTCATCATGGCCGGTCAGAAATCCAAGCAGGCTAAGCCCGCCAAGGTGTCCAAGAGCAAGGAGACTGTAAGGCAAATCGACTACCTGTTTACTGTGTATAGATAGGCAATACTGATCAGTCATGAATCAACCAGCCTGCTCCTCCCGCTCAACTCGTCGCCGCGATCAGCGCTTTCCTGAGCGAATCTGGTCTCTCTAAGACCAAGGAAGCTTTTGTCAAAGAACTATCCAGCAAGTCGATCGACTCTGATGCGAAGAACGTGCCGTCCCTGCTCGAACTCTACCAGTCCTGGGAAAAATCCTCCGAGAAGTCCTCCGGTTCTAGCTCATCGGACAGCGAGAGCGACGATGAGAGTGAGAGTGGAAGCGAGAGTGATAGCGAGAGCAGTGATAGCAGCTCCGACGAGTCCAGCGATTCTGATGTCGAGATGAACGACAAGTCCGAGTCCGACAGCGACAGCGACTCCGACGAGGAGAAGGAGAAGAAGAAGCCCGCTGCCCCTGCTGCCAAGTCTCAGGGCACCAAGCGCAAGGCCGAGTCCAGCTCCTCCGAGTCTGATTCCGAATCTGAGTCTGATGAGGCCCTGAAGTCGAAGAAGACCAAGGTGACTTCCGCCAAGGAGGAGTCTTCTGACTCGGACTCCTCCGACTCTGAGTCCGACTCTTCCTCTTCCTCTTCCGAGTCTGAAGTGTCCTCCGACTCCGACTCCTCTAGCGATGACTCCAGCTCCTCTTCTGAGTCCGATTCCGACTCTGAATCTGACTCGGACTCTGACTCTTCCTCCGACGAGGACGACAAGAAAGCCGACAAGAAGGCCTTGAAGACTGCTACCAAGACCCCTCTACCTCCGTCCGAATCTAGCTCCAGCGGCTCTTCCTCATCTTCTTCCTCCGATTCCGACACCACCGGAACCGTCAGCAACTCCGACTCTGCTGCCAAAGAGCAGTCCCAGTCTGCCCAGATGTCCGCATCCAGCAGCGCCAGCCCTGCTCCCGGCAACGCCCCCCAGAAGAAGAAGCACACCGGTGCTCGCCCCACTCCTCTGGCGCAGCTGAGTGAAGGCCCCACCGACCACCTCCTTTCGAACGACTACGTTCCCTACGCCTACGCCGAGAAGGCCTGGCAGGATCTCTCGGTCACCCGCGGCAAGGGCTTCACCAAGGAGAAGAACAAGAAGAAGCGCGGCTCTTACCGTGGTGGTCCCATCGACATCTCGGGCGGCAAGTCTTTCAAGTTCGATGACTAGATCCGCGATACTATCTAAGAGATGGAGACCAGTCTCGCCTCTTGATATAGGGGACCACCAAAGCATACCTACAGCTTTTACATGCTCGAAACAAAATGGGTATTCAAAAAAGTTCTATTCGCTTATGATTCCATCCATATAGATCTATATGCAGCCTAGATGGGTCATTGAGTCATTTTCTACAGCAAGGCGCTACTGGAGCCCGGTCGGATTGCTTTTCTTGCAGCTTTTCTTTTTGCTTTTTGCTTCACGCTGCTTCACCTGTATGTACTATCTACTTGCATCATCTAGATCTTTAGAGATGTTATAAACATGTATTCAGATATCCTTGCTTTTCATTGTAAACCCTAGCCTTTGGAGTAATCGTACATCCGGTAGGTCGTCGTAAATATTAGCCTCTTGCTATGCTCAATTCAAATTTATCCACGCATCGTGCTATGCAATCAGTCCCCAAATCCAGCTGAAGGACCACAACCCAGTCCAAGTATGCATAGCTCATGCGGATCTAGTTAAACCAGTCGCCTTTTGAAACGTCTCCAAACAACCCAACACCGGTAAACAACATCCAGTACACACACCACACCATAGACAAACCCTATTGTCCCTTCCTCTCACAATTACCCAACATCATCTCCATATTACCAACTACTCAACCAAATCATCAACCCGTCTCCACGACCCCGACTTCTCCAACCTCTCCCACCTCCGATCCCACCCTGTAACCTCCTCTGCAAGATGATCCTCCACCCCGACGGACCGAAACGGCTGCTGCTTGCGCAAAGTGATAGAAGACGTAGTATCCTCAGGGCGCTCGTAGCCCGATAACTCCAGAACTTTGTCCGCGGGATAGGTGTGCGCAACAGTGCTGTCGAGACCTACGTCGTTAGAGAGTAGAAGTGGCTCCCGGTACCAGTTCTGACAAGGGCCGAGGAGGTCATCCGTGGAGGCGAAGTCAAGGCGAACGACGCCGTCCGCGACACCAGTGTAGATGGTTGGTGAAGAGGGGGAGGGCGAAGTCATGCTGTAGATTGCGCCGCGGTAGGAACGGGTGTTGTGGCGGCGACGGCCTTGGGTGCGGCTGGATGGTGGGTGGGCGGAGAGGAAGATGGAGATGTCTTTGCGGGGAAAAGGGGTGAGGGAGAGGTTTGAGAGGCTGTTTACGATTGGTTCGTTGTTGTTCTTGGGGAGGGTCGAGGAAGGACGTGCATCGCGGTAGCTGTATGTTTCGTTCTTTGGCATATGCAGGTCAAAGATCTTGACTAGAGCGTCACCGCCGGAACCGACGACGAAGCGGTCGTGGCCAAAGGGGTGGATGCAGTATATGGGGTTTTGGTCTGTGGTATCACGGTAAACCTGTTCGTATTCGTCGTTTGAACGGAGGTCGTGCAGTCTGAGCGTGTTAGTCTGAGGGTGGAATGATGGGGGTTGGAGGAGGGGGGGGGGGGGGGGGGGCGGTTTACCTGATGGCTCTATCGCCCCAGGCTGCGAGGAAGACTTGGCCGGTGGGATCTAGGGGAGAAATGGCGTTGACATTGGGTCTGATGGGCCTATGGAGATTGACTCGCTCGAAGTCCACTAACTCTGCATCGAGCCCACGAATGGGTGATAGACCTTGCGGTGTAATGGTGGAGATAATCACCGCTTCGTGGGCGCTTCCTGTGCCGACTGCGAAGAGTGTAGGTGAAAGGGACTTGTGGTACGTGTGGCGCGAACTTAGGTTTGAATCGTCGCCAGTGTCGGCATTGAGACGAGCGAAAGGCTGGACCATCTCTTCTCCCGAAGTGGTAGTGAAGAAAGATATCGACCCGTCGCTCAAGTGGGCAGATAAGATTGGGTCCTTTCCGTCACTCATATCTGTTCGCTCAATGCCTTGTCCAGAGGTCAAGAACCGCTGCTTGTATACGTGAGACGCGCTATTAGGGTCGATAGAGAGATGGAAAAGCTCTCCGCGCACTCGTGCAACGACTATATGTTCAGTCTCGGGTTCCTTGGAAGGGTGTCCAGGACGTAGAAGATGGACACCACAAATGTCATCATGGCTGCTGATGTCGTCGAGATCGTTGAAGACAACCCATTTCCCCTTCGAATTGGGGCCAGGTTCGGTGATGCGCAGAACTAATTCGTCTGCCGCACCCCATGCAAGTACCTCCTTTCGATCGTTCCACGAGGAGCTATTCCAGACTTCATACGAGTCCAGAGCAGGACGATATCCGTGAGTAGGGTTGTCCCCTCGTGTGGAACTATGGGATCCGACCTTGACTGCTTCTGCGGCTGGTACGACGAATCTTCCGACAACTGCATGTTTGTCTAATGCTCTTGACCGAGATGTGAGTGCCTGGGCTGCTTCTCTCCAGATTTCAGGAGTTTCCACACCAGGGAACTTGGTCTCAACAAAGATTCTAAAAATGCGCCAGTCTTGAGCAGCGACAACATGTCGTAAACGCCAACAGGTCATTGATAGGTTCACCAACGCGCTGGCAGATTGCAAATAGCTTGCAATAAGCTGTATGATTTCCGGGGGAAGCTGCGCAAGCATGTTGAGCGTCAGGATGTCAAATTTAAGACTGTCTTATATGCTCAAGTAGATGATTCACAGGGCTGACGTAAAAATCTCTGGCATCACCCGTGTTAGTCAAGTGAGTTGCCAAAATTCACGAGGATGTAGAGAAATATTCACAGATTTACTGATCTAAACAACGACAAGGGAATGCTCTAGGAAAGGCGAGGTGGTGGTGGTGGCATGAAGGATTCGCCATGGCGACTCAAGACATTGTGCGCCCCGTCCGATCTATCGCCGCGGTAATCTGCAGAGTGCGTGAGGCCATCAACGTGACCCGTGTATCAACATTCTTAAATGTATATATGTTTGCTAAGCCTGGGAATAGACTAGTGACAAGTAGACACCCCAGATATAAATTCTAGATGCGATGCTATGGGAGATGGCACAGAATGTTTGATGTGGATGGTGGAGAAATGTGGCTGGAGAGCCTTATGTCATCCGGTACTTATCTTATCGGCTCCTCGGCTCTTCCTTTGGTACTTATCGGCAATCCAGACTATCTGAGTGGTGGAAGCCCATTATCTTCATGAGGAGTTGGAGAAACTGAAGATAGACGATGTTACCCCCTCATCTGGTGACTCAGGCTCTTCGGCTATATATCTGGGCCTATCCAGGGCTTCGGTATACCTCTTCCATCTATTCTGGTGCTTGTTCCTCCTCTGCGTGGCGTACACCTCTACCCTAAACCTCCTGGCTCAGTTATAGTAGCTCTTTATTCATCGTTTGCCTGGTATGCCAGGAATTGAGCTTGCGGAGTCGGCCGAAACTTACTTTATTGCTCATATGACATCTTGTGGAATTCGCGTTCTTTGAGCACAGCGTTGATGGGAATTACATCCTTCACTTGTGTATCAGCTCAAACATCTATATCTTGAAGTACCAGGCAACATGGCGGTCTCTGCCGTTACTTTCGCAGCAACCAGCTTTTGCATCCTACTACTGGCCTACAAACTGATTATATACCCCGTCTTTCTCTCCCCGTTGTCCAAGATACCCAATGCGCACTGGTCAGCTCCAATCTCTCCAGTATGGATTATCTGGAGACGGTATAGGGCACAGAACAACAGGACCATCCAATCCGCACATGAAAGACTAGGGCCTATTGTCCGGCTTGCACCATCGGAAGTCTCCGTTAACTGCGTCGATGGGGGCATCAAGTCTATCTACACGGGTGGGTATGAGAAACACGAATGGTACCCTCGTGTCTTTGGCTCTTTTGGGTAAGCGTAGCCCCAACACCGAGTGCATGCGACGACTATATTGACATGTATAATCCGCACAATGGTAGAACCGTTAGCATGTTCACCATGACAAACAACAAAGCCCACTCCACCCGCAAAAGAATGCTGTCCAACATTTACAGCAAGTCATTCCTGCAATCCTCACCCCATATCCACCTCATCTCCGAGACAATCCTGCTCGATCGTCTCCTCCCCATCATCCAAAATGCCGCCTCCTCAGGCTCGCCCATTGAAATGCACGACCTCGACCAGGGCATCACAATGGACTTCGTCTCCGCCTACCTTTACGGTCTAGCCAACGGGACCAACTTCCTTCAAGACGAGTCTTTCCGGCGCAAGACTCTCCGCCTTTACCAAAGCAGAAAGCCCTTCGAATTCTACCACCAAGAAGTCCCAAACCTCGTATCATGGGCCAAGCGTCTCGGCCTCCGCCTAATCCCCAAATGGTGCGACGAAGCCAACGAAGTCCTCGACGCCTGGGGTCTATCCTTCTGCGACAAAGCAGACGAATGCCTCAGCTCGACCCAACTCAACACAGAACCCATGGTCTACAAGCAACTCAAGCAAAGCATATCCAAACAGCTCCCGCCCAAAGAATCATCATCCTACCCCAAGCTCATCGAGCAACAACGCTTCGACATCGCCTGCGAACTCTATGACCACCTCACAGCCGGCCACGAAACCAGCGCCGTAGCCCTGACCTACCTGTTCTGGGAACTCTCCAAGCACCCGGACCTCCAGTCGTCTCTCCGCGAGGAGCTCCACACCCTAGAACCTAAGATCCTGTACCCCCGTCCATCATCCTCTCGAGACCTCCCCACCCCCAAATCCATCGACTCCCTACCCCTCCTCGACGCCATCGTAACAGAGACCCTACGCCTGCATGCCCCAATCCCCGGTATCCAGCCCCGAGTCACCCCGTCCTCTGGATGCACGCTAGTCGGGTATAGCGATATCCCCGGGAACACGCGGGTCAGTGCGCAGGCGTACTCGCTTCATCGCAATCCGGAGGTCTTCCCGGAGCCGGAGACGTGGCAGCCGAAGCGGTGGCTGAAGGAATGTAACTCGTCGGAGGAGTTGGAGGAACGGAGACGCTGGTTTTGGGCGTTTGGTAGTGGGGGGAGGATGTGTGTGGGAAGTAATTTGGCTTTGCAGGGTATGTATACCTTTCATGGAGTAGTTGATGAGATAGATGAAGCTGACCAGTTGTTTATAGAGATGAAATTGGTCGTAGCGGCTATCTATACCAATTATACGACGGCTATAATCGACGATGAGGATATTGAGGCTATTGATGCGTATACGGTTAAGCCGAGGGGGGAGAAGCTGGTCTTGAAGTTCGAGTCTGTCGCTTAGTTCTATGTTTTCTTTCTGGTAGCTATTCTAGTATATAGTTTTTGATTTCCTGTACTTCTTCACTATTCTTCAACAGACCCAGTAGTTACATCTACAGAGCATTATACGATACGACCAAAATAAAATCGAAAATGATTGATAACATACAACATCCACATAATAATATACAAAAAAAAAACCCCCTCCCACCTACCCTCAACACAGAATCAAAACTGATGTGGTAGGTAGTAGCATATTACAAACCCAAAACTCCAAAATATAAAGGAATATTTTCTCTCTCTCCCACTCCGCGTAGAAGTTCTTCACTTCTATACCACCACACCGTCTACTCATCCATCATATCAGACCAGACCAGACAAGAGTGAGAGTTCGACGACGGTAGGTAGTAGGTAAATCGTATGCCCGTATGCAACCGCTCGAAATAAGGTATTGAATCACACGCAAATAATGTAGTATATATATTGTTTGGCAGTTCAACCCAACACACCGTCCTTCTTCTTGGGACCGACCACCTTGGGGAACATTCTCATGAGGTGGTAGTTGATGGGGTTGCGCTTCTGGGACTTGGGTTTCTGTTTGGTGGAAAAGGGGTGATTAGCACAGTCCAGAACCCATAGATAATCCAGCATCGAGGTATTTCCACCGGAGGAGAGTGATAGAAAGTGGAGGGAAACGTACAGGTGCATCCATGCAAGATCTCAATTGTTGTTCGAGAACGGCGCATCCCTCGTGGGTGTAGCCCTGGGATGCCCAGCAGCCTGATCGAAGTCATATCATATTAGCCACGTACTTCAAACCACACAGAACTCCCTGGGGAATGTTGCATAACTCACTCAGCATAGACGACATCACCGCAACGCAGGTATTCGGCTCATTGGTGTTCGGACGCCGGACGCGCAGGTGAGGGATGGACTGCAGACGGACCGGGTTAAGGCGGGTAGAGACAGCTTTCGCGGGCATGGTTGCAATTGGTATCTTTGAATCCTCTCAAAAACAAAGGTACAAGGAAGGGAGGAGGGGGGGAGATAGCGACAACAGCAGCCGAGTGACGATGCGGTCAAACCAAAAGTTGACTGAAGGCTTCGGAGGTGCCAAGACTTTTTCGGCGATTTGCCCGCCGCGGAAGTTGTCTGGCTGATGTAATCACCGCGGCGAGTTCAGGCTGATAAGTAACCTGGTTTGCCTCTGCTTCTTCAGCTTTTACTATATTGGAAGATTGCTTTAGAAACGCTGATCGGAGACAGAAATGAGCAGAAGGCATGTGAGCGCTTTTTACACTAATACGGTCGCTCCGGTATGTGCGCCCAGACGTCGGGTTATACCCTCATCGAGATGCTTCTCTGTGGGGAGCGTGCGGCGAACCGCGGCGGGTTCGAAGCCGGGTGAGCAGCATGAGAATACCAAGTCACAGGATGAGTCGAAGAAAGAAGAGGAGCAGGGAGCTATGGCGCGGCGACTGTCGGAAATGACAGAGCAGGCTATGCTGGAAGGAGGCCGGTCCGCGCAGAGAAACATGCAACAGGCGGGGTTCTCGGACGAGCTGAAGCAACAGCTGGAGGAGAGGGTGGCGGCGGCAGCTTTCAAGAATGAGTACGCGGCCGCGCACTCTATCGTTGATATGCCGGTATGCTTGCTATACACGTATCGCAGTTTCGATGGCAATCGGTTACTGACAAGTCCCAGTCAAGCGCAGGTCAAGGAACACGAGACATCGCAAGCGCTCAGGCATGGACCGGAACAGAAACCACCCACGACATCACATTACGAATGCTGGACGACTCCAAGAAACGCATACGCACACCATACAAGATCCCCCAGCCAAACCCGGTTGACATGCGAATTAGCCCGAAGCCCAAAGATTCCACTGGCCTGCGTCTAGCGAAAGCCCGAGAGCGCACGGCAACATATTCTTTGAGCCAGAGTGAGGGGATCTCCGAGGATGAACGCGAAGCTATGCGCCGAGAGATGCGAGAACGCTTCTCCCCCGGGGCACGACCCATGCCGGCCACGTTGCAGGGGTTATCGGCGCTTGCGAACGAGCGGATTGAGGATGCGATGGCGCGTGGTCAGTTCAACAGGATAAAGAGGGGCAAGGGTGTCAATACGGAGACAGATCACCGAGCCAATAGTCCGTTCATCGATACGACCGAGTACTTCATGAACAAGATGATTCAGAAGCAGGAGATTGTGCCGCCGTGGATCGAGAAACAACAGGACCTAGCTAGGGAGGTTGATCGGTTCCGATCACGCTTGAGAGCGGAGTGGCGACGACATGCAGCCCGGCTGATCGCCAGCGAAGGAGGGTCTCTGGATGTGCAGATGAGACGGGCGGATGCATATGCCGCAGCGGAGGCTCGACTGGCAGAAAGGGCCAAGATAGAGAAGATGTTCCGCGAGAGCGATAGTGCGAGTGATGCTGGAGGGCTGGACTCTTCAGACGGAACTACGCAGAGCTCTGATAATGCGGTATCAGAGCCGCAAGAGGATAAAGAGCCTTTGCCCTATGTTACGCCTCTGCGTGATCCGCAATATATGAACACGGAGCGTTCGTTTCTTGAACTGACGATCAAGAATCTCAATGCACTTACTCGGACTTACAATCTCCAGGCTCCTCCTGTGGCACAGAAGCCGTACCTCAATCTTGAGCGTGAGCTAGCTGCATGTTATGCGGAAGTGGCTCCAAGCTTGGCGGAGGAAATCAAGCGGCGTGCAACTGAACGAGCTCGTCCAAGAAATTCGGGACCTCAAGCTGCGAACATTTTGGAGTCTCTGAGCACATCGAGTAAGGTGCGTGTATATGAGGAGGATCAGGCAAAGGGCTATGGGTTCAAAGAATTCTGGCGCGATCTGTTCTCGAAGAAGGAATAGACAGTCAGGGGCCTTGTATATAATAAAGATGATGCGCTGTGTATGATACTACCTGCATAATAGATCTGAATGATTCCGATGACCAAAAGACAAGGTATCTATCTAACGCGACGTTATCCATTCCAGCTAAAATAATATCCCGCTATCTCGACCAATACGAAGCATCAAAGTCCCCGTCTCAACACTTACTACCAGACCGCTACTTATAAATGTTATCACAGCATCATCGTCAACAACCCCTTCCATACCAAGCGCTAGCGTAGCAGAACATGATGAATATCATTAGTAGTACAGCGCCCAGCTCATCGTGTGTACTTCTCCGCTTTGAGTTGGCCAGTGCTCGTTTTGTGATTGTGGTGTTGGGCTCGAACACCCGCTTGAGCAGTGATGTGTTTCGTTATAGTGGTGCTGTGAAGCCGGACCAGGAGGTATTGAATTGCCTTGGGGGCCATGCTGCTTGTGCCATATCGGAATGAGTGATGGGGATGATGCTGCGCAGGTAGGTCTCGGTATTTGTGTTGCTTGGTGAATGGTAAGGGACTCTTTGACTAGCGCTCGAATAGTATGTTCTTTAGGTATGATAAATAATTGAATATTAAAACGAGTGTGTGGCTAATTTTCAGCGATGAGCATCGAGCGATGGCATGATGGTGAAGATTTTGTCCCTGTTGCAGATGAGTATGCACCGAACGCACATTACTGGCCATCATGGGGAGTAGCCAGCGATTTGTGCCTTCCTGATATGAGCTGAGGATAAAATTGGCTTAAGTAGGATTAGCTCGTGTGATAATGCTGCTCCAAACGATGAATATGGGCTATATGAGTGTATGTATTGCCATCATAGCTTCCGTCAATTGACCTCGCCTGGTCCCGCTGGACATGATCAGTCAGTACCAAATGTGGTGAGTTATTGTTGCTCATTCTCAACTGTCGAGACTAAACTTAGAGCCTTGGATGACTGCCATTTCAGCTTTTGATATCATCTGAAGCATAGGTTGAGAACAGATAGTGTCCACGGGCTTTGAGGGCGATGATGTGCGTAAGGGAGGGAGGAGAGAGGGAAGTGAGAGTCAAGACCACAAGGCCCAGTCTCTAGAACTCTTAGTAGGATGATACCTCGTCTTCAATCTTGGTCTATCATCTCTCACGAGTGTCTCTTCAACTTCTGATTGAGAGCATACTAGAAGTGCGCTCTTAAGAGGTCATCTATACAATAGTGGCCCCATAGTATACATCTGGTTGACTGAAACATGCGTTCAACATGTGGCAAGACCAGTAGCCCACTCGGCTTCACTACAAAACACAAAAGTACCAATGGCGACGATCTGTAATGTCCTTGTTACCAGTCAGAGCAACTTCAGATATTACTTAGTGGAGAACATCTCGTCAGCAACATGAAGCTGCCGTTGCAATTCGCACGTCCACAGGCTGATCAAACCGCCAACCAACCATCGAGTGGTGATTATTTGCATTTAGCAAGGGGTTTTAGGTTTGCTAGAATCCGTTCTCAAAGCAGTCTGTCTGATAAGGTAGTCAGCGGAAAATGACTCGGACTTGATTCAAGCTGTGACTCGACAGCATTGATACCTGCATACAGCGGGATGTGCTTGGAACAGACCCTGTAGTTTGCCCCGGGCACAGACAAACCCTATCCCAATCCATGCCGCTGCCGTCTGTCACAAAGCGCTAAATTAGCGGGGATTGATTCGAGCATAACTGCCAGTAGTCAACCGCCCGATGTGATGGGGTGTGCCGTGCATGCAGGGCCGGCGCGTAAATTGACCAACGACCGACGAGGGACGGCCGTCGCAGCAGATCACCTCTTGCACACCATCACATCAACTCCCCCAGGCCTCTCAATATACCGCTTCCCCCCTCTTTTCCTCCATCATGTCTCTTCCATTGCGCAAGGGATTTGCAGCCTCCAGACCAGATTCGATATGTCTGCAGGTGCTACTTAATCGTCACCTTGTCTGCAGTCACAAAAGCTTCATCCCGGCCTCAAATAATGCCCTATCTGCTATTCTTTGCGCTCCTTCCCCGCCTCATTACTGCTGGCTCAGTATCTAAGAAGCAGTTGAATCCTGTCCGTCGAAACAGCTATCCCATCACTCCAGCCGTGGACGAGTCGCTCCTGGCCATCCAGATCGGAGGCATCGTCGGTGCATACGTGATCTTCGTTGCTGTACTTCTTTCGCTGCTCCTCTTCGTGGGCCGCCGTCTGCGACGAGCCGTCCTCTCCTCCAACTACTCACTCCACGTCGAGATGATGAAGCCCGTGAAGCCGCCTCCCAGCATGGATCCCAGTCCTGTCACCCCGATCTCTGTCAACCTGCCCAGCCCGGGCCCTCGAAGCTTCAGCCGGTCCTGGAGTAGCCTCGGCAAGGGCTCTCGCTCCCACGCCTCAGGGACCACCACCAGCGTCGCCACGATCGACGAATCCGTCGTAGCAACTGACCGCCAGCGCGCTCAGGAGGACTTGGAGATGCTCTACGCCGCCGTGATGGAGCATGACGCACAGAAAGAAGCTGTCGCCGCAGCTCGGGGTGCCAACCAGGACTTCTCCGATGGAGACGAAGCTGTAGCAGAAGCAGCAGCAGCAGCAGCAGAGAAAGAGATTCCCTCTCCAGACAGCATCCCCACGAACCCATTCACAGATCGCTCCTCACACGTCTCCTCCAACAACTCCCCACTGAGCCCGCGGTCCAGCGGCCGGCTTTCCCGCATCTCCTCCCTTTCGCTGTTCAACCTCAAGTCGCAGAACCAGCAGCAATCATCAAGCAGCAGCAACAGCAGCAAACTGCGTTCTCCACGACCCTTCCCTCTCCGCAAACTCTCGATCTCCTCTCCTGTCGCCTCCCCATCCTACCAGGCCGATCAACCCCCCTTAACCCCAAGACACTACAATCCTCCACCCCGACCCCCAGCACCTCCTCTCCCAGTAGCAACACCTGCAATGACTGCACAAAAGCAGCAACAACCATCCCTTCCCCAAATCAACACCCAACCTCCTCCTTCCCTCCCAACTCCTCGTCTCGAGCCACCCCGCGCCAAAGAGAGATCCCCCCGCGGGCCCGTCCCTCCTCCCCTAACCCTAACCACTCCCACAGGGAGCAACACAACCCACCACGGACGCAGTCCATCATCATCGCTACCCTTCCGTGACGCTTACCCGCTTCAGAGCGCGCCAGCCACTAAACTCACGGTGCTGGAGAGGCCGATGAAACAGCTGAACGGGCCCAGAACGGGCATGCCCACCCCGTATAGTCCGTACATGCCGTTTACCCCGGTGACGCCGTTGACACCCAGCTCGATGATTACGAAGAGGCAGAGACGGAGGGCGGAAAAGGAGAGCGGGTTGAAAGTGTTGAATGAGGATGATTTGGTCAGGGATGACGGGGATATGTGGGGGTATTAGCTTCTTC